GCCAGAGTGCTCAAACTGACAAGTCAGCGAGCTCTGCATAACGCAAACAGCAAAGGCACTACCCCACGCAAGAATGCTCAACTGCTACAAGAGCAGGAGCGAAATACTCAATCTGCGGACAGAACTGTTTCGTCCTTTGTGGACTCGTCAGCGCAGCACAGAGGAAATGAGGCCGAACCTGATAGCAATGGAAATAAAAATTTCAAATCAGGCCCGAACGTACCTTGCCAGAGTGCTCAAACTGACAAGGCATTGAGCTCTGCATAACGCAAACAGCAAAGGCACTACCCGCCGCAAGAGTGCTCAACTGCTACAAGAGCAGGAGCGAAATACTCAATCTGCGGACAGAACTGTTTCGTCCTTTGTGGACTCGTCAGCGCAGCACAGAGGAAATGAGGCCGAACCTGATAGCAATGGAAATAAAAATTTCCAATAAGGCCCGAACGTACCTTGCCAGAGTGCTCAAACTGACAAGTCAGTGAGCTCTGCATAACGCAAACAGCAAAGGCACTACCCCACGCAAGAGTGGTCAGCTGCTGCAAGAGCAGGAGCGAAATACTCAATCTGCGGACAGAACTGTTTCGTCCTTTGTGGACTCGTAAGCGCAGCACAGAGGAAATGAAGCCGAACCTAATAGCAATGGAAATAAAAATTTCCAATCAGGCCCGAACGTACCTTGCCAGAGTGCTCAACCTGACAAGTCAGTGAGCTCTGCATAACGCAAACAGCAAAGGCACTACCCCACGCAAGAGTGCTCAACTGCTACAAGAGCAGGAGCGAAATACTCAATCTGCGGACAGAACTGTTTCGTCCTTTGTGGACTCGTCAGGGCAGCACAGAGGAAATGAGGCCGATCCTGATAGCAATGGAAATAAAAATTTCCAATCAGGCCCGAACGTACCTTGCCAGAGTGCTCAAACTGACAAGGCATTGAGCTCTGCATAACGCAAACAGCAAAGGCACTACCCCACGCAAGAGTGCTCAACTGCTACAAGAGCAGGAGCGAAATACTCAATCTGCGGACAGAACTGTTTCGTCCTTTGTGGACTCGTCAGCGCAGCACAGAGGAAATGAGGCCGAACCTGATAGCAATGGAAATAAAAATTTCCAATAAGGCCCGAACGTACCTTGCCAGAGTGCTCAAACTGACAAGTCAGTGAGCTCTGCATAACGCAAACAGCAAAGGCACTACCCCACGCAAGAGTGCTCAACTGCTGCAAGAGCAGGAGCGAAATACTCAATCTGCGGACAGAACTGTTTCGTCCTTTGTGGACTCGTCAGCGCAGCACAGAGGAAATGAAGCCGAACCTGATAGCAATGGAAATAAAAAATTCCAATCAGGCCCGAACGTACCTTGCCAGAGTGCTCAAACTGACAAGTCAGGGAGCTCTGCATAGCGCAAACAGCAAAGGCACTACCCCACGCAAGAGTGCTCAACTGCTACAAGAGCAGGAGCGAAATACTCAATCTGCGGACAGAACTGTTTCGTCCTTTGTGGACTCGTCAGCGCAGCACAGAGGAAATGAGGCCGAACCTGATAGCAATGGAAATAAAAATTTCCAATAAGGCCCGAACGTACCTTGCCAGAGTGCTCAAACTGACAAGTCAGTGAGCTCTGCCAGTGTACCTTGCAAACAGCAAAGGCACTACCCCACGCAAGAGTGGTCAACTGCTGCAAGAGCAGGAGCGAAATACTCAATCTGCGGACAGAACTGTTTCGTCCTTTGTGGACTCGTCAGCGCAGCACAGAGGAAATGAAGCCGAACCTGATAGCAATGGAAATAAAAATTTCCAATCAGGCCCGAACGTACCTTGCCAGAGTGCTCAAACTGACAAGTCAGTGAGCTCTGCATAACGCAAACAGCAAAGCAACTACCCCACGCAAGAGTGCTCAACTGCTGCAAGAGCAGGAGCGAAATACTCAATCTGCGCACAGAACTGTTTCGTCCTTTGTGGACTCGTCAGCGCAGCACAGAGGAAATGAAGCCGAACCTGATGAGGCCGAACCTGATAGCAATGGAAATAAAAATTTCCAATAAGGCCCGAACGTACCTTGCCAGAGTGCTCAAACTGACAAGTCAGTGAGCTCTGCATAACGCAAACAGCAAAGGCACTTCCCCTTGCAAGAGTGGTCAGCTGCTGCAAAATCAAGGAGCGAAATACTCAATCTGCGGACAGAGCTGTTTCGTCCTTTGTGGACTCGTCAGCGCAGCACAGAGGAAATGAAGCCGAACCTGATAGCAATGGAAATAAAAATTTCCAATCAGGCCCGAACGTACCTTGCCAGAGTGCTCAAACTGACAAGTCAGTGAGCTCTGCATAACGCAAACAGCAAAGGCACTACCCCACGCAAGAGTGCTCAACTGCTACAAGAGCAGGAGCGAAATACTCAATCTGCGGACAGAACTGTTTCGTCCTTTGTGGACTCGTCAGGGCAGCACAGAGGAAATGAGGCCGATCCTGATAGCAATGGAAATAAAAATTTCCAATCAGGCCCGAACGTACCTTGCCAGAGTGCTCAAACTGACAAGTCAGTGAACTCTGCATAGCGCAAACAGCAAAGGCACTACCCCACGCAAGAGTGCTCAACTGCTACAAGAGCAGGAGCGAAATACTCAATCTGCGGACAGAACTGTTTCGTCCTTTGTGGACTCGTCAGCGCAGCACAGAGGAAATGAGGCCGAACCTGATAGCAATGGAAATAAAAATTTCCAATAAGGCCCGAACGTACCTTGCCAGAGTGCTCAAACTGACAAGTCAGTGAGCTCTGCATAACGCAAACAGCAAAGGCACTACCCCACGCAAGAGTGCTCAACTGCTGCAAGAGCAGGAGCGAAATACTCAATCTGCGGACAGAACTGTTTCGTCCTTTGTGGACTCGTCAGCGCAGCACAGAGGAAATGAAGCCGAACCTGATAGCAATGGAAATAAAAATTTCCAATCAGGCCCGAACGTACCTTGCCAGAGTGCTCAAACTGACAAGTCAGCGAGCTCTGCATAACGCAAACAGCAAAGGCACTACCCCACGCAAGAGTGCTCAACTGCTACAAGAGCAGGAGCGAAATACTCAATCTGCGGACAGAACTGTTTCGTCCTTTGTGGACTCGTCAGCGCAGCACAGAGGAAATGAGGCCGAACCTGATAGCAATGGAAATAAAAATTTCCAATCAGGCCCGAACGTACCTTGCCAGAGTGCTCAAACTGACAAGTCAGTGAGCTCTGCATAACGCAAACAGCAAAGGTATTACCCTACGCAAGAGTGCTCGACTGCTACAAGAGCAGGAGCGAAATACTCAATCTGCGGACAGAACTGTTTCGTCCTTTGTGGACTCGTCAGCGCAGCACAGAGGAAATGAGGCCGAACCTGATAGCAATGGAAATAAAAATTTCCAATCAGGCCCGAACGTACCTTGCCAGAGTGCTCAAACTGACAAGGCATTGAGCTCTGCATAACGCAAACAGCAAAGGCACTACCCGCCGCAAGAGTGCTCAACTGCTACAAGAGCAGGAGCGAAATACTCAATCTGCGGACAGAACTGTTTCGTCCTTTGTGGACTCGTCAGCGCAGCACAGAGGAAATGAGGCCGAACCTGATAGCAATGGAAATAAAAATTTCCAATAAGGCCCGAACGTACCTTGCCAGAGTGCTCAAACTGTCAAGTCAGTGAGCTCTGCATAACGCAAACAGCAAAGGCACTACCCCACGCAAGAGTGGTCAGCTGCTGCAAGAGCAGGAGCGAAATACTCAATCTGCGGACAGAACTGTTTCGTCCTTTGTGGACTTGTCAGCGCAGCACAGAGGAAATGAAGCCGAACCTGATAGCAATGGATATAAAAATTTCCAATCAGGCCCGAACGTACCTTGCCAGAGTGCTCAAACTGACAAGTCAGTGAGCTCTGCATAACGCAAACAGCAAAGGCACTACCCCACGCAAGAGTGCTCAACTGCTACAAGAGCAGGAGCGAAATACTCAATCTGCGGACAGAACTGTTTCGTCCTTTGTGGACTCGTCAGGGCAGCACAGAGGAAATGAGGCCGATCCTGATAGCAATGGAAATAAAAATTTCCAATCAGGCCCGAACGTACCTTGCCAGAGTGCTCAAACTGACAAGGCATTGAGCTCTGCATAACGCAAACAGCAAAGGCACTACCCCACGCAAGAGTGCTCAACTGCTACAAGAGCAGGAGCGAAATACTCAATCTGCGGACAGAACTGTTTCGTCCTTTGTGGACTCGTCAGCGCAGCACAGAGGAAATGAGGCCGAACCTGATAGCAATGGAAATAAAAATTTCCAATAAGGCCCGAACGTACCTTGCCAGAGTGCTCAAACTGACAAGTCAGTGAGCTCTGCATAACGCAAACAGCAAAGGCACTACCCCACGCAAGAGTGGTCAACTGCTGCAAGAGCAGGAGCGAAATACTCAATCTGCGGACAGAACTGTTTCGTCCTTTGTGGACTCGTCAGCGCAGCACAGAGGAAATGAAGCCGAACCTGATAGCAATGGAAATAAAAATTTCCAATCAGGCCCGAACGTACCTTGCCAGAGTGCTCAAACTGACAAGTTAGTGAGCTCTGCATAACGCAAACAGCAAAGGCACTACCCCACGCAAGAGTGCTCAACTGCTACAAGAGCAGGAGCGAAATACTCAATCTGCGGACAGAACTGTTTCGTCCTTTGTGGACTCGTCAGGGCAGCACAGAGGAAATGAGGCCGAACCTGATAGCAATGGAAATAAAAATTTCCAATCAGGCCCGAACGTGCCTTGCCAGAGTGCTCAAACTGACAAGTCAGTGAGCTCTGCATAACGCAAACAGCAAAGGCACTACCCCACGCAAGAGTGCTCAACTGCTACAAGAGCAGTAGCGAAATACTCAATCTGCGGACAGAACTGTTTCGTCCTTTGTGGACTCGTCAGCGCAGCACAAAGGAAATGAGGCGGAACCTGATAGCAATGGAAATAAAAATTTCCAATCAGGCCCGAGCGTACCTTGCCAGAGTGCCAGAGTATCTATCTATCTATCTCTCCTTTCATACCATGCATGCGTCACACTTTCATATAATATTTCCCGTATAATATTGCAAGAATCACACTCTCATGTAACAGTTCTTTCCATTCTTTGCCTTTGTTTGTGAGTGCTTGGACCATCCACGTGTCCAGGAAAGGAGGCAGCTAAATTTGTTCATTCTGCTGAAGTATAAATGTAGCAAGGAACATTCGTTGTAACTTAAAGCTTCATTTCCCGGGAAATCATCAGACAACTCGTATTGGATGAACGGCCAAGATCCGATTTTATAATCGGAGCTCGGCTGTTCATTCATTTCTGTTATAACCAACTTCGGCCATACAGAACAAAGAATGCTGCATAATTGAGTCCGTTATATCAGGAGTCTACTTTTCATGCACATGTATAATGAACATCAGTCTGTTTTCAGAACATCCGGTGTAGTTTCAGTTCTTGTGCATTGATTCACTCTGTGCAGCAACATGGAAAGCCTGTACTCAAACCAACACCAGCACTTGGCAAGTCGATTGGACTTTTCAATATGATAGAAAAACCTGGAAGGACGCCAACATATCCTGTCGGTCACTTGGCGGATCACTGGCTACTGTCCAGACAACGACTCAGCTGATATGCGCAAACCGGACAGTACTGGGAACGACCGGTACGTGGGTAGGCCTGACTGGTACATGGAGTGCTGGAAATTGGAGTTCTTGGAAATGGGAAGCTGCACTGTCGCTGCACTGTCGCCCGTCGCGGCACAACTTCCATGGGCATCACATTTTCCAAGGATTCGGGATGATAACATATACGGATACTATCAGCCAGATATTTTCCAATTACTTACATGGGACAACAACCATACACTTCGGTACCTCTGTCAACGATATGTGCCTAAAAGTAAGGGTATGGCATTTGAATGAACGCAAATTAGATTCACATAAATCTATACAGTCTGTTCTGTTGTACATGTTATTATCGGTCATGAGTCATCAGTATTCAGGTTAAAACAGGTGGACCTAAACCATGCAACCCAAAGTGTAATGAATTCTTCATGTAATGAAGTCGGCTCAAGTGGAGCTTGGCAACATTAACCCTTTCCATGCTAGGGATGCGTGTACTGTTTTTTCAGGATGAGCAGATTGGCCATGGACGCGTTTACGCGTTCTGCCTACAATCTACAGTACATTTGTATCGCGGGCTATAGACGAGTGCACAAACTGTCATAACTCAGGAGCGTCACACACGGTACGACCACTACGACCATGGTCGTACCACCTTTCATCCAGGGTGGTCCACCTAATTCATCCAAGAAAGCAATAAAAAAAGTCAAGGATCTTCGAACTTGTACAAAACATCGAAAAATACTTTCATTGCAAGGAGCATACAGACTAGATGCCTAGTACTAGCAGCTAGCTATTGCCCAAGACTCCAGGCGATTATCCATTACGATAGGCGGTTGGAGTCGCGGGTGGAGACAACCAGACGATGGATTCCTCACGGACGCATTCACTGGAAACTTGAATTTCCAAGATCTACCATGTTACAATGGCGATCAGCACGGTGAAGAGACACTACATGTCACTTGACCGCTACACCAAATTACATAATAATTTCTTGTATATTCTTTCCACAACGACTTCTACCTACATGTAGTACCTCTGGCTCCTGATGATCTACTGCAAGCTGATGCGAAAATGCATTTCACCCGCGAACGCCGCGCTTGTCAGCGGAAAAGGGAAGCGCTTCATTCTCTGAAGTTGACAAGTGTTTGGACTACTGCTCCATGGCGGCAGAATATTCTGCAGCTGTTCACGGACACTACCCACTTCGCCTAACGATTTACGATCGTTTCTTTCTCCGAGTTTTCTGGTAGCAGCAACAAGAATTGCGTCCACGACCACAGGACGAAAGTTTCTCGCAAACTAAAGTCTTGTTGCCACGCAGACAGAGAAGATTCCGCAAGCCCTTTCTTCTGCTTCCAGTGTTGGCGCTCTCTGCTCCACTGGCAGATTTTTCAATCCCTCCGAACAAAAAAAGGATCTTCTTCTTTCTCTAAAAACGATTAAAATTACTTCGCTACTGTCCGGGCCTTAGTGCATGCGACGCGGCGCGCTTTTGCAGAACATGACAGGCGTTTTTGCGCAGTGGCTGGCGCCAGAATGCGCAGCACGCTTGTACTTCGAATTTTGCGATTTCTTTTAATGGCAATAGGTTCCTTTGCCTTGCTTGGCTACATAAGATGTAAAGAAAATACCAAAAATCCAGGAGGAGTATGTTTTTGGAGCTGGAAAGTGAGTGGGGTTGTTGAATAAGGGCACCTATGCATAATTTTCCCGCGGTTTTTTGTGCGGGGCAACTTCACGACCTCGACACTGTACTTGCACCACTCAGCGCAGCACGCAGTCTCATGCATGCACGCGTGGAAACTCTGATGATCGTAGAGCCCTACGTACCTGCTTCGCGTTTGCTGAGGCTGAAGTACAATGTACAATTTTTTTTCCTTTGTGTTGGTGAAGAATCAAACTCAAAACAAGACATTAATTTTATTTTCTTCTTGGAAGGCAAGGGTTGTCACAGTTTGCTGTTGTGTATAAGTAGCAAGTTAGTTAGAGATCAGTAAGCAGCTGACACAATCATGCCAAGCAACGCCCATTGTATCGTCCCTGGCTGCTCAAATCGTAAAAGCAGCTGCAAGTTTGGTTTGTTTGAAACTGATGATGCGAACTCGCAAGGACGAAAAGTGTTTGTGAAGCGGCGCCTATGTGGATCAGACCTGGCTCGTGTTGGCTGCGGAGGAACAGCAGAGGTCTGTAAAGCTGTATCTTTTCATCGTTTGCCTAAAGATTCGGATCGACGCCGGCATCTCAGGGCCGAGTGGCTTGCCAAAATACCAAGAGTCAACACTCCTCTTTCTGGAAACTCGTATGTTTGTGGGGTGCACTTTCCTGGTGGTCGACCTGTGACGGAGGACGAGCCACCTTCCCGTTTCTTGGACAAAGCCGTCGTAGTGAAGAGGAAGAGCCGTGTTTCGACAGGCGAAGTCAGTCGACCCGTTGAAGCGATTGGTATTGATGACGATGTTGATTTACCAGTCACAGATGAATCGGTGCCTGAGGCTGCAACACTTTTAGCTGACCATGATTATGGTGAAGTTCCCGTTCTCCAAGAGAACAAAATAAAGACTTTGGAAGCACAAGTGGCTAAGTTGCGGTCCCAGTTGGAGCAGGCCTTGTACAATTTGGATGAATCGGAAGAAGCTTTGCGGAAATGCCAACTCCATTACTCGAACATCCGACATGACAACAAGATTGTACTGTTTTACACGGGCCTGAGTTCTCTGGCGTTTGACTTGTTGCTGGATCAGTTGCGGTGTGGATGTCAAGACATGTGCTTTGCTACTAAAGTGCCAGCTGATTTCCTTGGCCAGGACAGCCGTGGCAGACGAAGAGCATTGGTGTATGAAGACGAGTTGCTATTGACCCTTGTCAAACTTCGGCATGCTTTCCCTGAGTCAGATTTAGCACTGCGATTCGGAATAGATCAATCCACGGTGTCCCGAATATTTTCAACGTACATTCGTTGCATGTACTTCTCTATGAAAGAAGTGGACATTTGGCCGAGCCGGGCTCTGATTGATCGCTACATGCCCGACGTCTTCAAAGACAAGTACCCACGCACCCGGGTAATTATTGACGCAACAGAGTTTCCCATTGAGAGGCCAGCCAACCCAACTGTACAAGCAGCCACCTGGTCGAATTACAAAAACAGGAACACTTTCAAACTGTTAGTTTGTGTGACACCTACCGGTGCAATATCGTTTCTGTCTCCTCTTTATGGCGGGCGCATTTCTGATAAGAAACTGACAAAGCGAAGTGGGCTAATGAAGTTGATGGAGAAGGGTGATGCCATCATGGCCGACCGTGGTTTCGACATTGCCGATCTGCTACCGGAGGGTGTCGATCTCAACATACCCCCGTTTCTTGGTTCTCGAGATCAGCTTGATGAAGAAGAGGTGATCGAAACTCGGCGTATTGCTAGCGTGCGTATTCATGTGGAGAGAGCAATGGAAAGGATCAAGAACTTCAGGATAACTCACTTCTTATCTTCCGTGTTGTGCCCTTTGACTGAGCAGATCATATTTGTGTGTGCATTCCTCACTAACTACATGGAGCCCCTGGTACCTCCGCCTGTTCGTAAGCCATCGACACAGTCTGCACACTTTTCCTCTGCTGCAGAAGTTGCCCAGATATCACCAGATGCAAACATTTCTGCAGTGGCTGTTTCAGCTGGCACATTTCTTTCACCTGCTATTACTGCTTCTGCTGCTGCTTCCGCTGCTACCAAGTTGTCATCTGCTGTAGCTGCTACTTCTGCTGCTACGAACGTGCCATCTCCTGTAGCTGCTACTGCTGCTGCTATCAGCGTGCCATCTTCTTCTGTAGCCGCTGCTGCCTATGTGACCACTATGTTTGTTTTGCAAGCGCTCAGATGGCCCACTTCTTAGAGTTTGTAGGTCTTGTAACTCACGCTACCACCATATGTGTCAGAATGATGATGAAGATGGGCGTCTATGTAATTCTTGCTTTATGACCAGGCCGCTCTGTTGAAAGCTTTTTGCGCATGCCGATATTCCTACGTGGCCTCGGTATTTTCTTCCCCTCTTTTCTTTGTGTTATGTTGTGAGTAATGGTGCCCCTACACAATGATGCTTATTTCACTCAGGACTTCGTACTTCGAAGTAGAAGTAGTGATGCTCCTATTTGTCTGTTTGTGCTGTTCACCAGGTAGGAAATGTGGCCTGTGACTGCTGCAAGTGCCGCTTACTTTGAAGTAAATACGAATACTCATGTAACGTTCATGCCTTTTTGAACTCCGTTGTAACACGGAATGGCGAGCTATTGTAAACCAGTTGTACGTGCCGTTTTTTGTAGTGGTTACCAGTAATGGCAGTATAATTTACTATAACGCACTGTTTACAGCAGAGTTCCACCGTCTTGGGTACATGTATACAACACTACCTAATCATGTACAAATGCAGGAAGCCGGTAGCTGATGGAACTATCCACCATCTAATCACGGCGTTTATATCAAGAAGGAGCTACAGAACAGGGCAGAACAGAAAAAGCTATAATAAAGGACATAGAGTGCAGCGTATAGAACAGTTCAGACACACTTACAGAAGAAAAGATTGCCACAAATCAGGGAAGAATGTAAACGGTCAAGACTACAGGAACTGGAGCAAAGTGAGCAATGGTCATCTCAGATGACGAGGAATATATCTATTACCAAGAAACTTGATCACAGAGCCAGTTTCGGGAGAACATGATCAAAATAAAATGTTCGGCAAGCTGCGAGAGTTTTCTTGACATGCACTTCAGAAAATGAAATGCGCTCAACAAAAAGATCATTGCAGGGAGACCACACTACAAAGTCACAAAATTGAAGGCCTGCAGCAAAGAGCTGCATTTGCACTTGTGTATAGTAGGCATGTGTTGTTTTGAGAGAAAGCACACCATCCTTGTTGGACAAACAAAATGATGCAGTAGACCCAGCTACCTCTGCTAGACTTTGGTCTCTAGCAACAAACGGGCATTTAATCTCGAGCAAAAGTGATGTATCACCATCCCTAACAATGCCATCGGGACTGGCACCAAACCAGCATTCATCAGCATGCACAAAGAAGCCACATGCAACAACATCTATCAGCTTGCCAGACTTGGCTTGGTGGGCTACGTAGGCACATCGTGCCTCTTCTTCATGATCAATCCCCCATCTGGTTGCAGGAGTGGTGAACGCCGGCCGATCAATGATAGTTTTTATGAGGGATGACGGGTCAGTCTGAGGTCGTCGATGAGCTACAGTATGGGCAATGGAAGCTGTAATACGCTTCTTTCGTTCATTCCTCCAGAGTTCACTTGTTGTTTGGGATGCAGTGGCTTCTTGCGGGGCATTGGCTTCTTCCCAAGTAAGTATGACATTGGACTCGTACCACAGCATCTGCTTGTCCTCAGTTAGCCACTCGCAGTCAGATGGCACAGGTGTCACATCACCTGATCTGCTGTGCTCAACCTGCCACTTGTCCTTCTGTTCCCCTGCCCTAGCCAGTCTCTCCTTTTTCTGCGCTTGGGCTCTGTGCAACCTGTCCTCCTTCTGCTTAGCAGCAAATCCTGAGCTACCAGCAACAAGAGGCAATGCTAGGTGGATGGAGTTGGAGTGAATGGTTGAGTTGGCGTATTCCTCCACACGCCCGGCAAAGTCCATCCGCTTTGCAACAGCACGAGGGTCAAGTACTTCTGCAGCAGAATGCTTACGTTTCTTTGGCGCAGATTTGTCAGTGGTACTGCCACCTCTACGCCACTCCATGTCTTGAACCAGCATGGGCTCACTCTTTTTACCTGCACCTGCAGGAGGCTGGTTCCACTTTTGCAGCATGTCCGTGCACGTCCGAGCGTCACTAAACCCAAGCAGAGTGAACTCGGACAAGCCATACATCAGTGCAGCTATATGCTTGCAACTGGCAGTAACACCCTTGCCAGCAGGACAAGTGCACTGAGCACCAACAACACTGGTGGCAGATCCTGAGTCACACTGAGCAACGAGCCGAAGTTTGTAGTCAGCTTTGGTCTTCATTTCAGGCTGACAGCGGGCACGGTAGTACACACGGCTGTTGGCCTTCATCAGTTCGATTTTCTGGACATAACCTGCTCGATACAGACGAATTGACTTGCTATCAGTGGTAGCAAGCGCTTTGAAATTCTTGGCAGGTCCATCGCTGGTCATAGTGTCCACGAAATAAGAAACCATAGTTTGCATGGAGAACGACAGGGAGAGTAGCCTTCCACTCGCAGATTTAATCGGCTGCCACCCATAACAGGAAAATCCAGAGGGTCGTGGGGAATAACAGCAAGCGCTGCAGCTGGCGGAGGTGGCCCTTCCTTGCCATCACCGTCGCCTTCAGAGAAATGCTGAGCAAGTCTGTAAACGACACGAGCAGATAAATAACAAATTCAGATTCACAAATAATTTCAAAAAAAATAAGATTTTGTTGTGGGAAGAAAACAACTCACCTCGCAACTAGATCGGCTTTCTTTCCCGACTTCTTGAGACCATACTCTCCACACTTCACCTTCAGAAGGTTCAAGGTGAGCTGGGAAAAATCCTGACTGACTGCCATCTTCCTGTCAACTAATATCGAAACTGTCTTCCACTGCAACGACTGAAAACAAAGGAGAGCCTCGCGTCGAGTAAGTAAGTTAGTTAGTTGCCCCGCACAAAGGTGCGAAGTCGCGATGGCGACCTGGCCGCCATGTTTTATGCATAGGTGCCACTGCTAGGGGAACCCTCCTTTGCGGCTGTAGAGTGCTAAAAATGTGCCCTGTTTGCCGAATAACCCTTATTTTTCTCCGTAGGACACCCCGGACCACCGGTTCTACCACTCCCAGCCGCCCTGTCACGCCCCTGCTCTCTCTAAATATCTCGGATTGCTAATGTGGAGACACCGCAGGAAAGGTTTTGCGCTCGGTTTTCCAGGGATATAAAGTGTTGCGCGATACAACAAGGCATGACCGAGCGGCGACAAATTGAACGGTCAGAATGCCCAAATTTCACATTTTGACGATCGTTTCAAATTTTTTGTTCGCGACTTCGTGCGGGCTTGGGATTTCCCCCGGAGACAGCGCGTGCGCAGTAAGCTTGAACAAAAGCGCTTGAATCTCAGCTTTCCAACGCAGTTTGAATCGTGAAAATCCGTTCACTATGCGCATGACGACGAAAGTAAACATGAGAGGCAGTCATTTTGTTATTTTCAGGCATCGTGGGGGGTTTGGAGAGGAGATGGAAGTGGCCCTGATATGCCTCTCGCGCTGTGAGTCCCTAAAATGGCTTCCTGTGGTCCAGATCTTTCAAAAAGCCAAGGTACATGAAAATCCATCAAGGTACAGTGAAATAGGAATACATTTCGTTCTGAGCCGCGCGTGCAGCTTTGAACAAGTGAGCTCAGGGCCTGAACAATGCGTGGCCAACACAGGAAAACATGCTGGCATGGAAAGGGTAAAGAAGTCTGTACGATTCACACCAATCAAGATATATCGTAAGTCTTCATACACGTTTGCTGAAAATGGAACCAGACGTTTTCTAACATAAAATTGCTTATGAAACGGTTCCACAGTTATAGGTCGTGTACGGTTTAGTCCCTGGATGTTTGGCTGTGGTGATTGAAAACGCCATTTTCTCATAACGTGAAGCGTCACTGGCCACGAGCCGTCTCAAGGATGCTTCTAGCGCGAAAGCAATGTTATACTTGTTTTTGGTGTCGTTGCCGTCGTCGTCCTCGTCGTTATCTGTTTCGTTGTTGTTGTCGTTGTCATTGTCGTTGTCGGTGTCGTTCGGTGTCATTGTCATTGTCGTTGTTGTTGTTGGTGTTGTTACTACTGTAGTAAACTGATACAGACAGCATACACATACAGACAGCATACACATACAGTCAGCATACACATACAGACAGCATACACATACAGACAGCATACACATACAGACAGCATACACATACAGACAGCATACACATACAGACAGCATACACATACAGACAGCATACACATACAGACAGCATACACATACAGACAGCATACACATACAGACAGCATACACATACAGACAGCATACACATACAGCCAGCATACACATACAGACAGCATACACATACAGACAGCATACACATACAGACAGCATACACATACAGACAGCATACACATACAGACAGCATACACATACAGTCAGCATACACATACAGTCAGCTTTAAGTACTTCCTAGATAGGAGAGCGAGAACCGTACACCGACGATTAGAGTCCACTCTCCAACAGTACCCCTGTCTCGCAGAGAGCCTGTGGAAAAAAAATGAAAACCCTCTCTTGAATAGTGCCCAGCCAATAGCTCGTGAATACATGGTGTCCCTTGCTAGCCATGCACGTGGGAAAGCTTGTTGTTGTTTCTCCAATAGACTTTTCCATGCTATTGCACTGGAGGTTTCAGGATCAAAATCGCAGTTCGTGTGGCCGTTTCTGCTGAATCGTGTTAGGCTGCGCTTAACTTGTTTTCTGCTAGATGACGTAAATGTAGCAGCATTAAAATAACAGTGCCTCTCTTGAATGGTGTCATATCTTGAATAGTGCCCCATCTATATGCCAGTGTGGTGTTTAGCTTGTGGATAATCGAACAGAAGCAATGCTCCATCTTATCAGTCTCTGACCTCTACACCCACCCTGGACTTGACGGCTTTGATTTACCACCGTGGAACGGAGTTCTCACATAAATGAGCCCACAAAAATAATTACACTGCCCTACTGCACCCACTGTTATAGCCATACAGTGTACTTGGCAAATCTATTTTTATTTTATTTTATTCCAAGCAATACATGGCTGGGGTAGCCAATGACCACTTTGCGCGGAGATTGCAGGGTTTTTATAGCCAACCATGGCACACAAAAAAAACATTAGTCATTACATTATCTGATTTTTGAAATTTCAGAGTCTATAATTATATGAACAACTGCCTACTAATAAAACAATTTCCGACATGTGTTTCCCCTTCTTGTGCTTCATGTGTCACTTTAACTGTTAAAACCAAAAATCTCTGCTGCAATAGATTTGAAAGGCTCAGCTCTGAAAATATCCGGGGAATAATTGTTGACTCACACCAGCAAGACTCGCAATCTAACATCAGTGGAAAGTTGAAATGTCTGATGGTGCCCTCCCTAAAAATATGTGAGACTTCAAGTCGGAGCTGAAGAAGCCTTTCCTTAGGTGTTCTTGCATGTTTTCCTGAACCATATGCAAATTTGTCTAATCTACTCCATGTGCCTCGAATGTTTCTATGTACATAATTATGTCCATTGTTATATCATGGATGTGTCGGAATTCAAACTGTGTTTTGGTGAAGGTGACTGGTACGGGTGCTCTGCGAGCAAATCTCTTGGACTCATGGAGATACTTTATAATCCAACGCCTAAGACATATGATGAGGCCACCATCGATTGCGCAGGGAGATTCAGCATTCTGGCCAATATCCAAAGCTTAAACCAAGCAGAGTGCGCAAGGACAGTGCTTGGACCACGAAATGGTCAATGCAGCAGTTCCTCAAGCGATAATTGCAAGAATGCCTCGTTTGGCTGCAAAGCCAATACATGCAATGTGTGGGTTGCTCTACAACGACCATCTAAAAATTGGACATGGATGTTACCTGTTCCATCCATACCGAGTACAATTCCCTGGATAAATTCAACTACAGGAGGTAGTGGAGAGAGAAAATGTGGTTACTATTCACCTGAAAAAGGGGGTTTTGGAATCGAATCTTGCACAATGAAGCTCAGTTTCTACTGTCAAAGATATACACCAAATGGTAAGGTATACTGGCTAGGACATCACTATTCTGTAGTTATCGATGTAGCTATCCGGGAACTGTTTTAAGACCTTCATGCCGACGTTAAACCATCTACTCTTTCGTTGACCGACAATCACTTAATCATTCACTGTGTGAATTAAATAACGATCCAAATTTAAACTAGGGGCTATTGACATTAAACGAGGTTGCGAAGGGGTAATCCACTTTAGCCAATCCAATATGTACTTCCTCCGGAAATAAATATTTCGTTACTTTTTCACTATTTTTTTGCTGGTGTTATTTCGCTTTTTCTCTTCGGTTATGTCCGCTTGAAACACTGACATGACATTTCTGACTCGTAGGAAAGCATAGTACATATTCTGGAGAGCCGACAGTCGTCGCAAAGCAAGGGTGTCGGCGCTGCAAACAAAGCAAAGTGAACATGTTTTTCATTTTCGTCCACCAGGCGCAATGCGAAGAAAAGCACTGCGCTCACTGCTCGTCGTTGTTTTTTTTAGTTCAGAACGTTACAGGGCAGGGCAATGGCACCAAGGAGCAAGAAGAGTGGAAAATGAAGAGCACCTTGCGTTTTTAAATATTGGCCCTCCCCGAATCGCCTGTCGGAATGCGAACAGGTCAGCAAGATGTAAAAATTCCAAAAAGCAGAGATGTGACAATCGTCATTTCTCGCTGCAGAGCAGCAGAGCAAGATGAATAAGCTCAAAAGAGAAGCCGTTGTTCAGCCACTGTAGAGCCCAGACCTCAACTTGGATGGTCTTGCCCTTTCCAGCAGCCTCCACGATGTGTCCTTGGTCGCAAAGGAGAACAGGCGAGATCTGAGTGCGGGAGTCATGAAGTTCTAGTACGACAATCCCTGGGAGGAATTTTGAAATGTTTGTCTTAGCCTTTGTTTGTTATTCTGAGCCATCATCGAGACCGGAGGCAGTAATTAGTACCAGCGCCACCGCGGTCTCCGCCGAGATGGAGAAAGCATTCTGATAACTGCGAGGATGATCAGGGACGCAGAGCAGCTTCTCTGTGACATAATGGCGTCGACCTGCCACTCGGACGGTTTCAGCGGTGATGAATCGAGCGATGCCGGCCCAGAATGAGATTCTTCTACCATTCATCAACCTAGCAGATACATGTATGTCCATTGAATGTGTTGAAGTATTTCCCTTCCAAAAGAACACTTCTGTTGAGCACGGTAACTCCTTGAAAAGTCCTGTAAAAAAGTCACGAAGTTTTGTTTCCGGAGGAAGTACCTCGGCGAGTGAAGTTTACAATGACCACTAGTACCACATCACTTCTACAGTACTCACCATGTATTTATCCATTACACCCGGCGGCATGAAAATGAGTGGAGATTTGCGGCAAAACAAATTAACCACTGGTCAGACAAGTAAACATAATAATATACATATACATGAGAGCGGTTCCGGGGTTACGATTTTTAGTGACAAAATCAGTAGAGGCGAGACGGATTTTTTATACGTCGTTTTCGGGCAGCAAAAAAATTAATGTTCTGGAGTCCGGAACTTCTGTGTTTGCCACCATTGCCAAGGTGAGGATCGTAAATACGTCCCATTCCGGCGCTTTGTTTTTTAGAAAATTTGAATATCTATGTTTCTCGTACAAAATTTGAACGCGAAAAATCTTTCTGCCACCGATGACGCCAAATCTCCGTACGAAACATGGCTGGTGTGAAAGCCAGTCCACACGGATTCTGGGTGTCGAAAAATCGTAAGGAGCAAGCCTCGGAAATATCGGCAACGCCCATAAGGATTGTGGCATGGAAATCGTACCCGTGAACCTCTCCATTATGTCCTCTGTCGTTACGTTTGACAATGAAACTCTGGTGGGTTTTTAATCTTCTTAATCTTCAAAACTTCTTGTATCTTGATTCTAGTCTCTAATTCCTTTCTCTCGATTTTTAAAGTGAGAGTTTGAACCTACAGTACCAAAATGTTTGGCTTCCTTGCCAACCAATACTACGTAATATCATAGTCAACAATAGAGATGAAGTTGGTTGCTCCAATGAGAAGCACACGCTTCTTGCCGAACTTGACACTGGACTAACTCACGACTGCCATCCGGAGCACACCAGGAGCACGTCGCACCTTCCGCTCGGCAAACCTGAAAGAAAGCACCACTCCCTGCTCAATACACAGTGTTTCGGGGAATTCACCCCTCATCAGTTGAGCGTGAGTAGGCCGAGGAAGATTGTGCCTGAAAAGCACCACTTATATACTGCTCTCCAGGCCAAACCATCACCAGGTATACAAACTTACAGAGACGCTTTGTTTCCAGCGCGACAAACACCTCGTGAAGCCCCAGGTAGCAGCGTGAGTCAGAGTCGCTCATGGAGTGGTGCTAAACAGACGTTGAGAGCCAGTATAGCTATTCACGCTGTCACCTCCAACAACTAGTCGCACGTCCGCGTGAGGGACAACAATACGAACTTAGAAGTTGCGACTTCGGCGGTAATAGGTGAATAGGTGAATTGCCCGAAATACTGTGTATTGAGCAGGGAGTGGTGCTTTCTTTCAGGTTTGCCGAGCGGAAGGTGCTACGTGCTCCTGGTGTTCTCCGGATGGCAGTCATGAGTCAGTCATATGTGTTAAGTTCGGCAAGAAGCGTGTGCTCCTCGTTGGAGGAACCAACTTCATGACTATTACCGCCGAAGTCGCAACTTCTAAGTTCGTTACAATAGAGATGTTCAATATATACTTGTTGCTTTTACATTGGCAGTTCGAACTGTCCATACTATGTGTTCTCCCATGTAGCACCCTCCAACATAGCTGGCGACTCCACGGAAACTGAGATCTCCGCACGTATAGTGCAGCCACAGATACTTCGAGAATGGATATCTGGATTCTGCTTTGTGTACGCAGAAAACAAGAGAGCAGCTTTCACAACTTCGGTTTGTGGCACAAGTGAGTCTACGGTTTTAGCAAACCTGAGTGCCAACACGGCGTACCGAGTCCAAGCATTCTACACCACTTTGACTGGAATAAACAGCAGCTTCTCGCAAGAAGTCTACATTGGAACATTGCCCAAAGGTAATACAGAAGATACATCAATGGCAAAGGAACTACAATTTACATTATATTGTCCACTAACCATTTACTCTGGCGTAAAACAATCAGCTAATGACATAGCATTGCACGACACTGAGCTACCGTGCTGAACTTCTACAACTGACTGGTTATTAGCTCTAGAACATCTTAGATTTACCTTGGATTACAAATAAATGGTGGTGATAGTGGCCATTATAGCGTAAATTGTACGTCCTTCGTAATCTCCTTCAAAAGAAATTAATCCTTGCCTCTTCATCTCGGTGATGTTCGCCAACATATGAGCCAGGGACTACAGAAACCACCCTATGGCACTTTTTGGCGAAAACATTTTTTTCTCTCAAAATGTTGGTATGGTATGGTAATGTGGTCAAACAAAATTTCAAGTTGATCTGCGATGGTAAAATGTGCCTAACCACCTATTTAATAATGGCATATCAATTGAGCGATATAGAGCAAATTTATGTACACAGTATGTAATGTTCTTTGTATATCTTCATTCTTGCTAGTTAGGCAGTTCAAATGTATAGTGAACTATGCCCTCAGCTTCATCCAGTGATGCCTGCGCGCCGTCCACTAAATCTCGGTAGTACTGCCGCTCCTCTTGTGCTAGCGATTTGTGCGAACGCAGCGCCTGGACACTACATTCCGTCTCTTCCTCTGTACGGGCGACACGAATTTTGTACCGCCGATTGTCACACAATGCGCATACGTCTGTCCTTGGCTTCATCACTTTGATATGTGCTGCCTGTCTCCTCCAAATGTGGCAAAATGACCCGTGTAATGAACAGGCGAATACTGTGTGACGGTCTTGGTGTAGGTGTTGTATGCAGACTGCTTGTTCTCGGATGCTGGTAAGTATACTGGAGGGTCCTCAGCACGACCTCGCTCCGCTGCAGGTTGAGGTAGACCGTACACTTTAGCATAATTATGACTAACTAAACTGCACTACATCCTGCTCTATGTCTGCTGAAATGGCCAAGTGCTCTGGTGTTCTCCCAGTCAAGCCATGTTGTGCCAGTTGAATGACTCCTTTGTTTGCCTATTTTGAAGGCGCTTCATTACATGACTTCCAACAGCAGGAACTGCCATGAACACGTCTTTGCACAACTCGTAACCACGTACATGATAGCGGAAATAGAAAGGTCGATCACCACCACCAGTCAGTGCGCCCAGAACAAACTGCTTGAACTGTTGAAGCGCTTTTTCGATTCTCGCAGTTTAGAGACTTCAAATATGTAGTCCTCGAGCTGCTGCTCTGGGATGACTTTCCAATGATTCTTCGACTTGCATCCACAGCCTCTCTCAATCCCATCGCGTATGTCCGAGGAGACCACGCTTCACCTGCTCCGTCGTCGGTGGCTCAGGTGCGGGGGTATCTGGTTCGTCATCCGATTCCGAGTAGTCGGTGTCACTCTCCGCGTTCGAAATTTCCGAGCTGTCGGGGCTTGGCGTTTTCGACACAACACTAGCAGCACTCGAGCTTGCTGTGACTCCATACGTCTTCTTCTTAGGTGGCATATCATCGCCGTCGCTGTCAGCATCGGTGTCGGAATCGCTCGCGGGTGCCAGCGCTGAATCCGTAAAAATTCTCGTCGTCCGATTCAAGCGCCTTCGCATCAGGGACTAGTCGACTCCACACAGAATCGAGCTGCGTCGTCTACTAGATGTTGTAGCCATAATCAATCACAGTAAGTGGAGCCTCATGAGTTACTCGACAATCGCTCGAGCTCGGAATCCTTCCCCGAACACCTAACAAGAGGACAGCTCTTGAGTCTTGTCAAAACAAAAGTGACGAGTTCTGCGCTTCGCGTAACTTTGAGTCGCGTGACTTTGAAACGTCATAACTTGATTTTGATATCAAACGTCGTAGGGCGGTTTCTATAGTCCCTGGCTCATATTATGTTTTTTTAGGAAGGGTGCATTCGGTTTTACAACTAGTAAGTTAGATGAAGATAAGAAGGTTAAGAAATTTCACAACATTATTGTCAGCGGATATCATACTGGATTTCTATGATTGAAATCTCTTTTCCTGTTTTCGTCTTCCCGACAAATCAGTGAATATCAAATTTGATTGTGTGGATTAATGCATCAATGTCAATAGCATGTTCACAGGCGTGTGTTTTACGCCATATTGCCAGGTGTGCCTTTACCACCATTTTTATCAACCACATCTCTAAAGAAAGAATATTTATCCAGCGCATGCACGAAGAGGAAATTGCAACTAAATAGAGTGGTTGTCTGTTGACAAACCCCCTCTTTATAGCCGAAGTTCGTTGCAACAGAGATGCACTCACAGATATACTATTATAATCGGAGATTAGCTGTTCATTCAGCATAGGTTGTCTGATGATTGTCTATGGGCACGAAATGTTTAAAAGAGCATGTCTGAGAAAACCAGAACATATGTGCAAGTCGATCTCTCAGATTTTGTTCAAATTTTGCAGGTAGGTTTGCTTGGGGGTGTAGATCGACATTCCAAAGCCCGCGCAAAATCGTTTAAAGGGAACCATGAAATTAGCATACCTCTCGATATTGGCCCAATATTGGCAGGATTCACGGGTCTACAAACGAGCCACTGCACAGCGTACAAGAACAAGCACGAACAAAACTCCATCAAGCCAACATTACCTCACCTTAGAAGAGTTGTACGGGCAGCACCACTTGGCCACGCCAGCATCCCAGAAGACAAAGGCAGATCATCCCTTGACGCCACAAATGATCGTCTTGAAAATTGCCAAATTACAAGCGCTGATAACACATCGAGCTACGTCCTCAATTAGCAAACGCAATACACTGGCAGGTATCATTCCTCTTGCAGTACAATCCAAAAAATACACGCAAAAATTCAGTCACTTTTGCATCAAGTGTTCCATCGAAAAATGTTGGTGGCGCAAGGAGAAGCTTGTTGTTTGGAGTGACAAGTGATCACCGCTGCTTTTCCTTGTCAGAGTCAACAATACACTTTGTTCTGCAGCATTGGGAGTGCTGTTGGAGTAGAAATTGCTTACTAGACGTCGCGGGGTGTAATACATTGGTTTAATGATAATGAAGACGAAATAACAGAAATTACCAGGCAAGCACAGTGGGTTGGTGAAAGACCATGATTGAAATACTAGAGGTACCTGGTTCAAGTCCTGCAGCGGATCGGTTTTTTCCAGCCGTGCTACAACCCACAATCAAATGGGAACTTATGGCCACGCAAAAGGGTACATGGTTGCAGCTCTTGGGGTTTCTCGGCACTTGCGCTTCAAGAGTGGGGTGAGCAGTGGCGGCTGACGTTTGAGCAATCCAAGTCACAGTAGCTACTGTGCACACGATCCTTGGACTCAGCAACTCTAGGCATCTCATTCGGTGGTGTCGGCATTGCCAGGACATGAACACAGAAGCTGTTGGGTATATTGTTCGCCTTAAAGCTTTCGTTTCGCCAACACATCAGCAGCATGGCGGTGAAAGCCAGTCAACGTATTACGCTTTTGTGAGTGTCTACCGAGGATTCATTCGCCCTATGCTGGAGTATGCTCCACTGGTCTGGATGTCCGCTGCCCCGACCCATCTGGCCAGGCTCGACCGCATTCAGTGGAAGGCAATGGCCATCGTAGGACCAGAGGTGATACTCCAGAGTCTGGCTTCACGACGCACTCTCTCGGGGCTGTACTACATGTGCAAGCTTAAGTGCATCGAATGCCCACAACAGCTGACCAACATTGTCCCACCAACTGCACCCACTGTGGTTCGTCCACGAACCCGACACACACACATGCGGTGACCCATCCTGTTTTGTTTGTTTGTTTTGTTTATTTACGGATTCTCCAGAGGTAAATGGATACCTATCATGGGAGTCTCACCAAACCAATAAAATAATGAAAATAAAATTATGTATGGAGCGCAAAAAACTCAAAATCTGAGATTTTCTAAGTCAAATGAGATCCTCACCAACTTCTCGATGCCCTACCACCAGCTGCACCGGAGTACATCAGGCGGTCCTTCCCGTTTGCCCACATCAGTATGTGGAATCAACTGCCGCCCTCCCTGTTCCAGCCACCAATGTCTCTGGAACAGCTGCACTGCTTCAAGGCAGCTGCATGGAAGCACTTGCCACACGCTGACTGGCCGTGGGCTACAGACCACCTCTGAAAGCCGCTGATGCACACACACTAGATTCACCCTGCCGTTTAGCTCGAGAGCATATTACTCATCTCTGAATCTACCCCATTTCAACTATTATTATTCCCTTCTTGCTTTGTCTTTTTTTTTACTTCACTTTTGTCCTTAGTCACTTTCTTATGCTGGCTCATTATAAACTTATGATTAAAGGGGAACTCCGGTCCAAAATCACCCCCATCCATTACACTATGTCGTAAGTGGTAGAATGGCGAAAACCGGAAGCTTCCACGACAAGGATAACATACCTAAATTACCAATTGCAATTTTCCATATATGGCACAAGGGGGCCCCGCCCACCCTGTGACGTAAAACGTTCCCAGTGACCTCCAAATTGTTTATTCAAATGGTAGACCTACAGAAATTTTGAAAAAGGTATTCACTGTTTTTTCTTCGATCAATAACCCTTGTATTAGTGTTCATCCACATCATGTTGGAGGAAAAGGAGACCACGGGAGGTGTGGAGGTGGACACCACTTCGGATTCAGCAACACCGAGGCCTTTTAGGTTCGAGCCGAAGCGCGCATCAGCGCCTGCGAAACTGTCTACAAGTAATATTTCTGACACTACATAACAAAACAGATGAACGTGAAGAGACCGCTTTGGTTGCAAGTGCTCGCGTGAGAAGCATTGCTTGATGCCGTTGTGGACAATGCAGCCTGATGTGGAGCGAGGTCGAGTCGACTTGTTGCTGGGAGGTTCCTGCAGCTTTCAGTAAACGCGGCGAGTAGGAAGGGCTGCAGTGCGTCACGCAGCACTCAGAGTTTGCTGTTGTTTGCCTGCGAAAAGCAGTGCTCCAGGTGGCATTGCTTTCCTTCGAAGAATTTCGGGCAAGGTGTGGACCGTGGTGAAACAGGTGAGGATTCACTGAATCGGTTTCATTACTTTCTTTCTTTCCATGTTTCATGTACCGGGACAAATTAGATGGGAAGTGTTGTGCAATGATTTTGTGTACAGTATTCAAATTCACCAACTTCCATCACACAACCATAAAGTTCTATTGCATCCATGCCAATATAATTATACTGGTACAACGATGTCTTTCATTCATACAATTCCTAGCACTGTAAGTGTTTCAACTGTGTGTAAAAGTGATGTAAATTTGAAAAAGGCCAAAGTGTCTTTAGTAGCCCATAGAAATATTAAGTCAAATCCGAAACTATTTACACTGAAACTATTTACTTTTACACAATCATGAAGACACTCGTGGTATGTGTATCTACATCTCTCCAATTGTTTTGTGCAGGATTTGGAGACATGTGGCGTATAGACAATACACATGGTTCACAAATGGATACTTTGGACGCAAGCAGCGGCGTGTTATACCGTCTTGTGTGGTATCGAGGATAAAGCAGATGTACCCAGAAGCCAATGCAGATGCGCACCGGGACTTTGCGGAAGCAGTTGGACGTAATGATGAAGATGATGATAATGCTTCTTGGCCTGGTTGACTTTCACATGATCATTGGTACATGTGCATGCAGAATGTAGAAAACAGTTGACAGACACGATTTTTAATTATTCTTGACTCGGGCAATATTTGTGTTTTCGGGTGGGCGCATGCTTTGCACCAATGCAGCTGCATGAACAATCTGGTAAAGTTGTCAGATACAATGGCACAATACTGTACTGTTTTCGGGAGCATGGGGTTGTGCTGCTGCCGTGTGCCGTTGCGAATGTCGAGAATGGTTGTATGCACATCGTTCAACAGGTCCTGCAAGAAGTTGCAGGACGTTGTCGTGCAGCTTCTTGGCCACCCTGTGCTTTGTGCTCTTTGTGTAGTCCAGCCTGTACCTGAGCACACCCTCCTTCGTTTTGGCGTGCGCTCTCCCTATATTGGCATTGTGGGACAGACATGCCAACTGTACCCGTACTCTCATGCTATTGTACGAAAAGTGGACACGTTTTGGTGCCCACTTCAGTATGACAGCATGGAAATTGTCCAGACTGCCCGTATGGCAGAATTTGGTTAGCTGCTTCATATCGTTGAGCAACGTCTTGCCCATCACGATGCTCTCCAGGATTTTGTGCTGGTCTGAATGTCAGCCATGCTCTCTCCTCTCAGGTTGCGAAATTTGAAAAGGACCATATATTTCTTATAATAATACAAGGCCAAGGAATGGTAAATGATACAAATCACTATACTATACCTTGCATTTGTGGCAGTGTAGCATTGGGAAAGTTATAACCTGGATGCATGATTGGAAGTTGCAGCCAAACGTTGATAAAATGGCAGCTATGTACATTTCCCCTTCTCCCCCTTCCCTGCCACTTTGTTTTCCTTCTTCAAGTGTTGCTATTCGTATTGTTGAAGAGCATAAGCATCTTGGCGTTATTATTGACTCTAAATTGTCGTGGTCACCCCATGTGCAATATGTCTGCAAGCGCACAAGCTCCATCCTTGGGGCTCTTCAAGCCCACTGTAGACATCTTCCTCTTTCTTGCAAACGCTTGTTTTATTGTTGCTATATATTGCCCTTACTTGACTTCTGTGATACTGCTTGGTCTGGCATAACTACTACTGTATTGAACAAGCTAGAAACCCATAACCGCATGCTCCTTAAAATCTTATTTAGCAAAGATCGTCGCTTTGCCTCCGCTAGTCTTTACGAAATTGCCAAGAGCAGTCCCCTTTCCACTCGACATAAGTACCACCTCTGTGTTCTCATACATAAAATATTACTAAATAAAATAACCTTGCATATGCAGGCTTATAATTGGTTCTCCGAAACACGGAATACCCGGAACTCACTCAGTCTCCCACGCGCTGCCTCCACCCTATTCACTAGATCCCCGATCTTTGCTGGCTATGTGTTTTGGGCAACATTACCAACGCAGGCCAAGACCAGCACGTCGATGGATAATTTTGTTGCTAAAATCTCTGCTCACTTATAGGTTTCATGTATATCCTGCTGGTTTGTCTCCTCCTTTGCCTTCTTTGCCTCTTATTATTCTTTTATCTGTTTTACTGCTGTGGTTGGCTTTCACCCTTGTCTCAGTTTTACTGGCCGTCGTCATGATGTGCTATGAGATAATGATATAAATCCAAATCCAAATACAAATACAATAGTGAAGCGATTTGTGCAGGCAAATGTATGCTGTTTATAATGAGCGCGAAATTGTGTCCGAAATCCTGAAACAGAATCTATAGCAGTAATCTTGGGTAGAAGGCAATTCTATAATTTGCCGATTTTATGTAAGAAAAGGGAAGATGAAAATTTCCCATGAGAGTTGAAACAAGCTTGTTCGGTCTGCGTTCACTACGAGGACTATTCACATTATTATTTTAATTTTTAGTCTGATATCAAATGGAATAAGATATGAGGTTGAAAGTGGATGCATTTGAAAAGAATTGTAATAGCGATGATGGTACGTCTGAAATGGAGGGATTCTAAGTTACACATACTATTTAAACTATCTTTTGATTCATATCTTACTGTCTGTCTGTCTGCCTGTTAGTCTCTCTCTGTCTCTGTCTCTGTCTATTTATATCTCTTTCTCTCTCTCCTTCTCTCTATCTCTCTATTTATCCATCTATCTATCTATCTATCTATCTCTCCTCTCATGTCATGCATGCGTCACACATTCATATTATATTTCCCGTATAATATTGCAAGAATCACACTCTCATGTCTTTCCATTCTTTGCCTTTGTTTGTGAGTGCTTGGACCATCCACGTGTCCAGGAAAGGAGGCAGCAAAGTTTGTTCATTCTGCCGAAGTAGAAATAGCAAGGAACTAGCAAGGAACATTCGTTGTAACTTAAAGCTTTATTTCCCGGGAAATCATCAGACAACTCATATTGGATGAACGGCCAAGATCCGATTATATAATCGGATCTCGGCTGTTCATTCATTTCTGTTATAACCAACTTCGGCTATACAGAACAAAGAATGCTGCATAATTGAGTCCGTTATATCAGGAGTCTAATTTCATGTACATGTATAATGAACATCAGTCTGTTTTCAGAACATCCGGTGTAGTTTCAGTTCTTGTGCATTGATGCGCTCTGTGCAGCAACATGGAAAGCCTGTGCTCAAACCAACACCAGCACTTGGCAAGTCGATAGGACTTTTCAATATGATAGAAAAACCTGGAAGGACGCCAACATATCCTGTCGGTCACTTGGCGGATCACTGGCTACTGTCCATACAACGACTCAGCTGATATGCGCAAACTGGACAGTACTGGGAACGACCGGTACGTGGGTAGGCCTGACTGGTACATGGAGTGCTGGAAATTGGAGTTCTTGGAAATGGGAAGCGTCACTGTCGCCCGTCACGGAACAACTTCCATGGGCATCACATTTTCCAAGGATTCGGGATGATAACATATACGGATACTATCAGCCAGATATTTTCCAATTACTTACATGGGACAACAACCATACACTCCGGTACCTCTGTCAACGATATGTGCCTAAAAGTAAGGGTATGGCATTTGAATGAACGCGAATTAGATTCACATAGTTTTTAAATCTATACAGTCTGTTCTGTTGTACATGTTATTATCGGCCATGAGTCATCAGTATTCAGGTTAAAACAGGTGGACCTAAACCATGCAACCCAAAGTGTAATGAATTCTTCATGTAATGAAGTCGGCTCCAGTGGAGCTTGGCAACATTAACCCTTTCCATGCTAGGGATGCGTGTACTGTTTTTCAGGATGAGCAGATTGGCCATGGACGCGTTTACGCGTTCTGCCTACAATTTACAGTACATTTGTATCGCGGGCTATAGACGAGTGTACAAACTGTCATAACTCAGGAGCGTCACACACGGTACGACCACTACGACCATGGTCGTACCACTTTTCGTCCAGGGTGGTCCACCTAATTCATCCAAGAAAGCAATAAAAAAAGTCAAGGATCTTCGAACTTGTACAAAACAACGAAAAATACTTTCAATGCAAGGAGCATACAGACTAGATGCATAGTACTAGCAGCTACCTATTGCCCAAGACTCCAGGCGATTATCCATTACGATAGGCGGTTGGAGTCGCAGGTGGAGACAACCAGACGATGGATTCCTCACGGACGCATTCACTGGAAACTTGAGCAGAGCTGATATGGAGGCGATCACTGGGTCCAAAACTAACATTTTCCAAGATCTACCATGTTACAATGGCGATCAGCACGGTGAAGAGACACTACATGTCACTTGTCCGCTACAACAAATTACATAATAATTTCTTGTATATTCTTTCCACAACGACTTCTACATACATGTAGTACCTCTGGCTCCTGACGATCTACTGCAAGCTGATGCGAAAATGCATTTCACCCGCGAACGCCGCGCTTGTCAGCGGAAAAGAGAAGCGCTTCATTCTCTGAAGTTGACAAGTGTTTGGACTACTGCTCCATGGCGGCAGAATATTCTGCAGCTGTTCACCGACACTACCCACTTCGCCTAACGATTTACGATCGTTTCGTTCTCCGACTTTTCTGGTAGCAGCAACAAGAATTGCGTCCACGACCAACTCGGCACCTACCGTGTCCGGGAGATCTTCATCCATAAGCTCTTCTTCCTGGTTTGGCGTTGCCGATACTCCCGTGCTAGCCCTACACTGCAAGTGCTGCTGCTACCAACCAGTGGCGCTCCTACTCAGCTGCAATTATCTATGGGTCTAAGACCACTGCCAACCCGCACTGCGCTGGGTAAGATTTGTCTTGCCTTCCAAGGAGCTAGACTCTGGAATGCGTTGCCCAGCGAGGTACGGGCCATACCGCACCCGGCCCAATTTCGCACTGCTGCTGTTCCACACAGCATGAACCTTTGAGGTCACACGGATCACTATCGCAATATTTTCATTATATGCCTGTCTGTTGGCCTGCCTGCTCGTCTCTCTCCCTGTTTCTCTGACAACCCGCTGGTTAATTCGTACGGTTGTTGTTAGACATAAAGCCCTGTCGTAGAGGTCTAAGCCCTCATTTGTTGCTGAGTCTCTCTCTTTCCACTCTCTCTCTCTCTCCCTCTCTCTCTCTATTTCTCTTTCTTTCCCCCCCCCCCTCTCTCTCCCCCCCCCCTCTCTCTCTCTCTCTCTCTCTCTCTCTCTCTCTCTCTCTCTCTCTCTCTCTCTCTCTCTCTCTCTATCTCTCTCTCTCTCTCTCTCTCTCTCTCTCTCTCGCTCTCTCTCGGATCTCTCTCTTTCTCGCTCGCTCTTTCTGTTTTTGGTTGACAAAAACATCTCTGGGGCTGATTGCTTTCTTGCTTCGACTTCTGCCACGCCTTTGTTCTCCTACTCCCTTTTCTGTACAAGTTTTGTGCAAACCCTCCTTTAATATTGTCTGTCTCATTTTGCACTGAGGTGTTTTGATGCATAGTGATTATGACGCTCATCATTCGCTCCTTTGTCACTGCTCAGTTCTGTCCATTTGGTTTTAGCGAATTCAAAGACAGAAAACAAACACCAACAAAACAAAGATTATCAGAAGTGAAGGTGGACTTGATCAACACATCGATACCACCTATGTGCTGGTTTGGGTCTCTGCCAGAATATTAAATTATAGAATCCGTGTTCAAGGATTGACGAGTCAAGGCTAGTTATTGCATCAGCAGGGAATATAGCTTCAATGATAATTTCGTCATGTATGTCGTGCTGGATGAGTGCATGCCTCAGGTCGTCCACTTGGGGGTGTCAAACAGAGCTGCCAAACAACCAAGCCCAATGGAGGAAACCAGTGTCGAAGATTGCTCAGTGAGGAGGTCGGACGTCGTCCATCAATTATCATCAATTTGTCGCGCAGTGCTAGTTGTCGGAAGTTGTATAGTGAAGATATATTTACGATTCAAACTTGTGGAAGGTTACACATTTCTGTGTTAGATGCGCCGCGTATTCGGAAATTAGATCCAGTACTATGTGTACAGAAGGAGAGTGTGCTATCGTTGCAGTTGTTTGCTGGCACACCTCATTTATTTGTTATTTATTTATTTTTTTCTGCACCTCGTGGCATGTCAAGACAGCCAATTGAATTGAGGAGAGGGTGAGACCAACCACGGGAGAAGAGAAAAAAGAAAATGAAGAGCACGTACACAAAGTGGGAAGGGATTAGCAACTTAAAAAGCAATGGGATGCTCAGCGAGCTATGCAGCGGAAGTGGTGACTGTGACTTTGTTTACTGGGAGATACTGAAGTGCTGTCTGACGAGGGTACGGAATTTGGGCATATCTGGAGCTTGTCTAACACTGGGAGGCAGTTGGAGCCACGTGGAGTAGGAGGAAAAGAAAGGGGCATGAAAGTGTGCCCAGTATTTCCTGATGTATTGAACATGTTTGTCTACAACTTGCAGGTTCTGTTTTTGAGGTTTTAGCACTTTAATCATTTCTCAATTAGGTTGAGGTATGGTCTTTTTTCTTTCTTTCCTTTCTACAAAATTTATGTAGTCACATTTTTCCAAATTCCCAACAGTCCCTGTACAATCTTAAAGAGAAGGGAAGGAAAACGTTGCGTAGATAATAATAATAATAACTTTATTAGGATGACCCTAATACACTGTAATATATGAAAGGAAGTGGCTACTTGGTAGTGAGGATTTTCGTCTCTGCATGCGAAGGTATAGATTGCGAAAATACGGGATGAATAGTTTTGTTGTACAGTATCTAGTGCATCTCTAAAAAAATCTGTCCCAATTTCCCCTGGCTGGTGACCACTGCAATGCCTGAAACTTCCCTTTGCACCTGGTCTTGGCGCTTTTCCTTACATTTCTTTGTACATTGGTGTGTTTAGCACTCTATTCGAGGTGCCTCCACCTTTTGTGGACATATTCGTGAATTGGTTGTATTCGTTTGTTGCATTATATCAATGTTTGTATACCCCGCGCTTGCTTTAAATACAAACTGTCAATTCTGCAGATAACTGGTACGTATGTTCACATGGCCAAGAAGCATCGGGAAGACTCGAGACACTTTACATTCCCACACCTAAGACATACAATGATGCGTCTGCTGAGTGTGCCCGGAGAGGTAGCATTCTGGCGAATATCCAGAATAGATATCATGGAGAGTGTGCAGGAGACCTGCTTGGACCCCGAAACGGTCAGTGCAACAGTTCTTCCAGTGATAACTGCAAGACTTCCTCGTACTTCTGCAAAACCAATACATGCAATGTGTGGGTTGCTCTTCAACGACCATCTCAATCCAAAACCTGGACATGGATGCTGTTTTGAGTGTATCGCACAGCAACCATCCAGGTCCGACAACAACAGAACTACACACACCGAAAAGGCTTCTACTTCATTTCGTGCAAACAAACTCCTAACTAATGAAAACCAGAACAACCATGATCAGTTCCTCGCATGCGTACCTGAGGGGCCCGCATGCTCGGAGTGTAAGGACCACATGGCGGGCGTGAACACGTGTCGCAAAGGCACGTGCATGCATACAAGTAAAGTGCGTAAAAGAATTACATACTACATCTCCCCCCTCCGGGGAACTAGAGGAACTAAAGATGGGAAAGTGAAAAACATGCGGAACGGTAGAAACAATACTGAGTAAGACGGCGGGCCAATACACATGAGAGAACAAGGACTCTTGCAATGCGTTATGATTGAGCGACCCGGAAATAGGAGGTTGAGAGTAGCGTCCTAATCCAGGATCGCCCAACCAGAGCGTGAGGAGTCAAAGCCTACTATTCAGCCGCGTAAAGGTACTACTTCGAAGTAGCACTAGGAATAGAGAGAAGGCGAGAGAAAGACAGACACATATCGGCACGCACACACAAACGCACGTGCATACGTGCTCGAACACACAGTGAGAAAGTGACAGGAAGAGAGAGAGAGAGCGTCAGATAGCGATCAGGTGATGCCGGGTTCGTCGTACTTGTCCGGATGACAACAGGATTATGTAGGATCGGGGTTCAGCTGATCTTGCTACCACTGTACCCCTCTCCCGGCGACCTGGAGTTGAGACATCGATCACGTCCGCGCCTGGGGGGAGAGCGGGCAGGATAGTCGCTCTGTGCCGCAGGTCGTACTGAGCTCCGGACTTCTGGCGTTGCGCTGTGTCGGCTGCACGGAAGGCATCCGTGTCCACTGAGCTGGGCTGGAGCTGGGCTGACTGTGATGGAACCGGCGTTGTGAGGCGGCGACCCATGAGTAGCTCCGCCGGGCTGTACGGCGCGAAACTGAGGGGTGTCGACCGATATGCCAGCAAGGCATCATATAAGTCAGCTGCTGAGGCGGACTTCTTCAGGAACGCCTTCACGGTGCGGACGGCACGCTCAACCTCGCCGTTCGACTGTGCGTAGTGAGGGCTACTCGTGATTTGACGGAAGCCGGCCCTGGTCGCAAACTGGGCAAACTCCGCGGACGAGAACTGGGGACCGTTGTCCGATCGAAGGACTGCTGGAATGCCATGTCGGGCGAAGATTGAGTGGAGATGGTCGATGATCCGTGCTGATGTCGTGGAAGTGAGGGATGCAATTTCTGGATAGCGGGAATAATAGTCCACCACCAACCGGTTACGGAGCGCGGTCGAGCTGGCAGAGGTCCACGCCAATGGTGTGCCACGCGCGAGGCGGTGTGGGGTGAGCGAGCAGTGGCTCGACCGGCGGCGGGCGGAAGGCCTTGCAAGTGCTACAATCTTGCACGAGAGCCTTAATGCGTGCGGTGATGCCAGGAAACCAGACTGACACTGTGGCGCGTTGGGTTGTACGGGTGACGCCCTGGTGACCGGCGTGAAGACGCTGAAGAGTATCGGCCACCAAGCACTGGGGAATATAGATCCGGGAGCCTTTCATAATCAGGCCATCGAGCAGGACGAGGTCAGAGCGGACAGGCCAGAACTCACGGAGGGGCTGCGGTACATCGCGGATAGCGGAGGGCCAGCCATCGAGGATGAGGGTTCGCAGCTGCTGACATGTAGCGTCCTGTTGCTGGGCGTCTCTAACCTGCTGCGTCGGGACGGTCTGATCAGCTAGATTCTCGACTGCGATAGTAGCGAACACGTCGCACTCAGCCTGAGTGGTGATGTCATCCCGACTCGGGGAGTCGTCTTGAGGGGCGCGTGAGAGAGCGTCGGCGCTGGTGAGGTAGCTCCCTGGAACGTGAATGATCTGGTAGTGATATCGTGCCAGGCGGAGTCGGAAGCGCAGGACTCTCGCTGGGAGATCGTGTAGGCGCTTCGTGCTGAGAAGAGGTACGAGAGGCTTATGATCCGTCTCGATGAGGAAGCACGCCATGCCAAGCAGGTAATTGTCAAAGCGGGAAACAGCCCAAGTGATCGCGAGAGCTTCCTTTTCGATTTGGGCGTAGTTGCGCTCGGCCGATGTGAGAGACCGGGATGCGCAAGCGACGGGACGCCACTCATCATCTGAGGACCGGCGCTGGTAGAGCACGGCACCGAGGCCATAGGACGAGGCGTCGGCAGATAGTTTGGTGTCGTAGTTGGGGTCGTAGCGCTGCAGACAGGCTGGCTTGCAGAGCTCTGCCTTGATGTTGTCGAAGGCTGCCTGCTGTGGTTGACCCCAAGTCCACGCGCGACCTTTAGACAACAGCTCTCGCAGTGGCTGGCTGAGGGCGGCGAGATTGGGAGAGAACTTTCCCAGTTGGTTCGCCAGACCCATGAACCTGCGGATGTCTGAGACGGTTTGAGGCTGACGGAAGCGCTGGATAGCAGAGGTCTTGCTGTCACCTGGTTGAATGCCGGCAGCAGTGAGCCGCACTCCCAAGAAGGACAGGTCGGGGGCGGCGAACTCACACTTCGACGGATTGAGGGTGAGCCCTGCACCCACCAGGCGTCGGAGCACCGCGTATAGACGACTATCATGCTCGGCACGAGTGCGGCCATGGACGAGGATGTCGTCCATTTGGCAGACCACACCCACCAGCCAGGATCTTTGACATGCGCTGCTGGAATATCTCAGGCGCAGAGGAAATGCCGAACGGCAACTTCGTGTAACAAAACCGACCAGCGGGGGTGATGAAGGTGGTTAGAAGCTGGGAGGGACTGTCCAGCGGGATCTGCCAAAACCCGCTGTTGGCATCGAGCTTCGTGAACACCGTTGAGTCGCCGATTTGGCCAAGAGTTTCGTCTACTGTTGGCAGCTGATGGTGTGACCGTCGGACGGCTTCGTTCAGAGGTTTCAGATCAGCACAGATGCCTACCGTGCCGTTGGACTTAGGTGCGGCCACGATTGCCGCACACCAGTCAGTGGGCTCCACGACAGGGCGGATTACACCAAGCTGTTCCATGCGCTGAAGCTCGGTGGCCACTTTAGAGCGGAGCGGCAGTGCGATGTTTCGCGCAGCGTAGAGACACGATGGCTTGGCATCAGGTGAGAGCTCGATGTTGTACGGCTCGTTGAGTGACCCAAGACCAGAGAAGAGTGACGGAAATTCCTGCAGAATGTCTTGTGGGAGAGCGTCGCCAGGTGTCGTCAGAGGCAGAGGTTCTGACCCGGCGGGAGCTGAGGAGTAGCTACCCGGCGCATCGTCCGTGGATTGACTGGGCTCCGGAGCGGTCGAAAGTGGTGTAGCGGACGCGGTGTCGCTGGAGAACAAACGTTTGATTAGACCAAGAGCGACGGAGTCAGGGCCCCCTAGGAGACATACGCGCAGGCCTCTGGCAACGTACACGGTGCAAGTGTGTGAAGAACCAGAGGTGGGAAAGACGAGCCGCGCGGAGAAGAGGCCCAATGTCTCGAGGTTGGTGTTGGCTGCACTGACGAGAACGTGCCGGCAAGGCTGGAGCTGCGGGGATGTGCTAAGGGAGTTGTAGACCTCCTCGGAGATGACAGACACATCGGCACCGGTGTCGACTTTGAATGGAACGGTGGTGCCATTGATGGTGAGCTGAACCTGCCAACTGGGAGGGTGCGCGGATACGGCACCAACGTAGATGGGGACCAGATCAATAGATTCCTCAGACACGGAGCTGGGAGAAGCGACGGCATCGGTGCCCGGCGAAGACTCGGCCGATAGCGCACGGGCATGGCGGGATGAGCGGCAGACAGCGCCGTAGTGCCCGCGCTTGTTGCACTTGTTGCACGTTTTTTCGCGTGCCGGGCAGGCTGAGCGTGCGTGGGATTTGCCTCCGCAGTATCCACAGGCGTTAGAGGTGGAACCACGTTCGGAGGACGTAGGTTTGCCAGATGACCCACGATGCTGGACGGAGTGTACTGTTACTGGAGCACCTCCTAGCGGTGGAGCAGTCCGGCTCAGGTCTGCCTGCGCGCGCGCAAACGCGTCAGCCAGCTTGGCCGTGTCAGTAGCACTCACTCGTGGTTGCTCCTGTACATGCCGGCGCACTTCCGCAGGCAGGGTGGAGAGCAGCTGCTCGCGCACTATCTGGTCAGTCACGAACGGAACATCGATTGTGCCCCCAGACGCAACTGCGTGAGTGATCCATTTTTCGAACAAATCCCTCTGCCGGTGGTGGAGTTCCATGTACGTCTCGCCAGGCGAGGACAAATTTATGGACCTGAACTTCAGGCGATACTCCTCCGCGTCCAATCGGAAACGCGCGAGTACTGCAGTTCTGATGAGAACGAAATCCTTCGAGTCACCCACGGGCAGATTATTGTAAGCACTGCGAGCTTTGCCCTTGAGGTGGGGTACGATCGCCAAGGCTCGCCGATCGGGAGGCACGCCGTAACCAATGAGCAGGCGTTCGGCGGTAAGGAACCAAGCCTCCGCATCGTCGGTGTCCTCCAAAGGCTGTAATTTGGGAAAATTCCTTGGAGAAACCGAAGCCGGAGCGGGAGGCTGACTCGGCTGAGACAGATGCTGAAGTAGAGCAGTCGAAACGGTGGTCTGCTGCTGGAGGTGTTGCTGCTGCTGTTGCTGTTGCTGTATCAGAACCTGCAGGAGCTGAGGCAGCTGCGAGAACGCGGAGATATCTACGGCCGGACTGGCGGAAGCAGTTGCGGCGGAGGTAGAAGCTTGAGACTCCGAGTTGTCAGAACTCATGATACCTGGACGAGGTGGATTTACTTTCGTGACGTGAGGCTTGGATTTTTTCGGACCCATCCGCGGAAAACGGAGACAGAAAACCGAAAGCTAGCACCGCGAGAACACCGCTGCCACCATGTTTTGAGTGTATCGCACAGCAACCATCCAGGTCCGACAACAACAGAACTACACACACCGAAAAGGCTTCTACTTCATTTCGTGCAAACAAACTCCTAACTAATGAAAACCAGAACAACCATGATCAGTTCCTCGCATGCGTACCTGAGGGGCCCGCATGCTCGGAGTGTAAAGACCACATGGCGGGCGTGAACACGTGTCGCAACGGCACGTGCATGCATACAAGTAAAGTGCGTAAAAGAGTTCATACTACAGATGCTACCGGTTCCAATCTCAGCAAACAATGTTTCTTGGATTACTGCACCACTACAAGGAGGAGGTGGACGAAAGGTGGACGAGAAGGAAAGCTTTGGAATCGAATCTTGCTCAATGAAGCTAAGTTTCTATTGCCAAAGATATACACCAAATGGTAGGGATCTCGTAAAAATTCTTTTAGACATCCATCAGGCTACTCCTATACATGTACTTACCAAATAGCCCTGCTGTATTCACCTACCTGTGTAGTAAAGGGGCTAATATGCAACATTAATTAATTTGCACACAAAAGTAACAAACTCCCCCAGACACAACGGGGACTGGTGGTTGAGAAAACATTAATTCAATACGAAGAGACAGAGACTTAGACGAACTACAACGACTACATTATGGAGGACACAGACTGAGAGAGAAAAAGAGAGAGAGAGAGATGGAGCGAAGGCAGAAAGATAATTGGCCTGGGTAGCTATGGCAATTATGGGCTGGAAAGCAGCCACCCAGACCAACGTAACAAAAGGTGACAAAATATGAGACAAAAGGTGGGTACGAGCGGAAATGCAGGCCAGCTCTCCCGTTCAGTCTCCAACCTGGCCAACTTTCTGGAAGAAAGAGGCTTAATACTAAATCCCTCCAAAACCCACGTTCCAGCCCTTCATGCGTCTCGCAGGCAGCCCTTGTTACTTAACATAGAATGCAATGGAAATCCCCTAGCTCAGACCACAAATGCTCGATATCTAGGTCTACATCTCGACACCCAGCTTCCGTGGGAGACTCAAGTTGCAACTATTACACGGAAGACCTCCCAGAAACTGACGGCGCTGCGAGCCATTCGCTCCTGCTTAACTGAGCAACAAGCCCTGCTATTTTACAGATCGTTAATACTACCGGACATGTTGTATGGATCTAATGCCTTCTTCTCGGTTCTCTCTGCGCACCAACGGCATCAGCTTTCGGTCCTCGACAAGCGATGTATCCGCTGCGTTGCCAACCAGCCATTCCCCTCCCACACAGATCCCATCTACACCCGTCTAGGCCTCATCCCCATCATCCAAAACGCCCACTGTAAACTCCGCCTCCTCATGCTTCGTATCCACACCGCCAGAATTAGTAATCTCCTGTCCAAGCGCCTACGTCGCCAGACTGAAGGCGTCACTCGGATCAACGATCCAAATGCGTATGTTGTCCCTGCCACCAGGCGAGTCTCTGGTGACTGTCGGCCGCTCGTTTCTGCTGTTAAATTATGGAACGCCCTGCCCCAAGAGTTCAAGTCCCTCGCCTGCCATAGATCATTCAAGAGACTTTTAAAGGTTTATTTTTATGGTTAGCCAGCATCTAGGCTTGGACTTGGAGTCGTGACTCAACTGTGACTCAACTGTGCTTTCTTCTTCTTTCTTTTTCTTTTTTTTGCCCTTTCTCTTTTTTCTTTTTGAGTATTTGCAGTCTGTGTTTTCTGTGTTTTTCTCTCTTTCGTCGAGGCTTGCTTGTTGTATCCTTGGCTCTCGGCCGTTACTTTATCGCCATCATAATATAGGGCACCATTGCCCGTTTGGTCTGCGATACAAAATAAAATTTCAAAATAAAATTTCAACAACACAAAGATACTCAAGGTTATCCATGGGAGGGTTTGATTTTTCGCTGCCAAGTTAATCTGAACACAGCCCGTTGAAATCCCCCGCTAGAACTACCAGTGTTGCCAACCACCCGTATTTGTCCGTAGTTTTACGGAAAAACGAAGTTTTGTCCGCCATACGGATTTCGATCGAATTATCCCGTAAACGATCATGTATAATCGATGACTAAAACCTTCACAACTCCATCGTTCCTTGTGCGAATTCAAGATTCGAAGGGTCAACGTGGTAGCGAAAACTCCAGGCTGTACACTACAACAATCGCCGAAGAGTTACGAGATTGGACTGCAGTGATATTGCGCGCCGTATTCGATATTCTTACCTCGACAAATTCAAATTTTTGATCGATCTTTTCGCCATTTTGGGGAAATTCCCTTATCGTATACTCTTTGACTCGTTTGAGCGACTGTCACTGAGCACATTATAATGACGTAGCCGGCTGAAGTTTCAATCGCCTCGAAAAAAATTGAGTGTTCTGCTATGAAGGAGAGTGGAATGGTGTTGATGGGATGAATTTGCTTGCATTTTAGGCTTGAAGACGACTTTGCTGTGTTACCGCACCTGATTTGTGGCGGCGTCATAATGCATTATTAATGGAGCCTGGCATTGCTCCTGCCATGAGCTTTCCAGTTGTTAACGAACCCTAGATTGTGAAAATCAAGCGAAGTAGACCAAAGTTATGACTTGGTGAAGTTGAAAATTGTAATGAATTCGTAGGCTACACAAGTGGGGCTGGAAGGGTTATACAATATCGGGGGTTTTCCCACACCAAATCACTCAAAATGTAGAAAAATCGAGTAGGCAAAACTCTGAAAAATTGAGCACAATGGCACTGGGCAATACTCATGGGGGTCGGGGGCACATTGGTGACACTGAACTACGTTTGGGGACAGTTCTTTGGCCTGATGTAGTGTTTCGGCACGTGAATTGATGAGACAGAGGTCGATGGGGTACAGGAGTATGGGCGGTACACTGAACTGATCACCAAACTCGCTCCAACTCATAGCCCATAGTGTTTCATGTCCCGCGGACTGGAGTTGATCTAGATTACTAACTCCAGTTGCGCGGGAGTTCTATCCTCAGGCTGCTACCGTATCTATTAAGTTGAACAGTATTAACAGATTGTCACAATCTCATTCACCTAGCTAAATCCAGTTGCGCGGGAGTTCTACCCTCATGCTGCTACCTTATCTATTAACATACTGCTACGATCTCAATCAACACATACCACCACTGGATTCCTTATATTAACATCTGCGGACTGCGCTACAAGATAGACACGCTGTCCCCTCTGATCAGGCAACGGACATGGAATGTTGTTGGGATTGCGGAGACATGGCTGGACGCGTCAATAGCTGATGGAGAACTGAACATTGAAGGATACAGTTTTGTGAGGAATGACCGAAAGGGGGGAAAAGAAGGTGGCGTCTGTATTTTTTACCGGTCCTACTTGCCCATCAACCCACGGCCGGATCTCAGCAAAGGGGACGCGGAGGTAGTTTGGGTTGAGCTAAATGGAAAGGCAGGCAATCACTTAATTGGCGGCATATACCGACCACCAGATGCGCCAGTCTCCTACTGATCCACCCTTGAGGCATCGCTGCATCAAGCTGCTGTGGTTACCTCAGCCGTCACATTGATGGGGGACTTCACTGTCAATATCTCGCATTCCCAGCCACAGCATGCCCAGCCCCTTCTGGATCTCTGTGGTGCATATGGCCTCACTGATATCGTCCACTCCGTTACGCGAGTCTCACCTCGGTGTCCAGCTGGCACTACTATTGACCTGAAACTGTCTACAGAGGATAAATATTTGCATAATTGCCGAGTCCTGCCGCTTACACTCAGTGACCACTTTGGAGTTGAAGGAACCTTCAACGTAAGACATGCCCGGCCAGACATCCCCAAGCAACGTGTGCGTCGCCGTTTAGGTAACATTGACATGGCGTCCTTCTGACTTCACCTAGCTGCTGCTGAACTTCATGTGTACCCACCAGACTCTGATGTATGTATGTATGTATGTATGTATGTGTGTATGTATGTACATACATACATACATATGTATGTATGTATGTATATTTTTATTTGAATTCGCGCAAGTACACACAGGCTAAATGCCCAATTACATGGAAGCGAATGCCATAATGAGGCCAATTAAGAAAAAAAGGTGGAGGAAGGAGGAGGACGGTAGCAAAGCAACAGGGAGGACAATTCAGGAGCAAAATCAACAATTGCACAAATGAGAGAGCACCTGTGCAAGCCATGTGGGACCACTGGCATCAACGATTCCTTTCTGTCCTCGAGAGACATGCGCCATTGCAGCAATGCAAGATTAAGACAGGCAAGCTCCATCCTCCATGGTCTGAGAGAGAGCTATACAAGATAAGCGAGCTGAAGCGTCGCCTGCATCGAAAGTGGGTTGCTGGCAAAGCCAACTCTGAAGCTCACGCAGCATATAGACGTGCCCGCTCGGTTACTACGAATACAAACAGGCGCAAACGCAACCTGTACTTCCAAAGTCTGTGCAAAGATAATTACTAGAACCCATGCAAGTTACGGGCAGTCCTAAATACTGTGACTGGACGCAAGAGACAATCAATCCAGCCGACATGTGACATTGAACATGTTGCGTCCACGTTTGGCAAGGTAGTGTAGTATCCCTGCCCGACCAATACGGAGGTAGTATGGAACTAATACGGAGCTTTGCCTGATGTATAGTTAGTGTATCTCCGTATATAAGCGTACGGCGTCTGCTGCATAAAAGCTGCTGCGCATTTCTGTGAAGATGAGATTTTGATAATAACGAGCTATTCAACCTCCAGGTGTGCACCGGAGAGAAAGTCAGTTATTTTGCCGTTTCTTCTTTCACTAATAATTATATCTCAGGTGTGTACCTGAAAGAAGTAGAATAAAAGTAATTCTTGTTGATTTCACCGCGCCTACCACTCGGCTACCGTTACAGTAGTCTCTGATGGTGATCGACCTTCAGCGCTCTCTATGCCTCAGGGTCCAGAGCCTTGGTCTGCCCTGACCTCATTCCAACCTTTGCGGGTCTGCAATGCTGACTAGCTTTTGAAGCGAATCGACCCGCGCAAAGCAACAGGCAGCGACGGCATCCCAGACTTACTTCTAAAGTGCTGTGCCGATCTGCTAGCACCATCAGTTGCAGCACTTTTCAATGGGGCCCTGACCTCTGGCACTGCACCCGCTTAAGCGTGCGTATGTGACCACATTCCAAAAGGCTGGCGATCCATCTGTCGCCAACAATTTCCGTCCTGTGTCCCTGCTCCCAATTCTCTCGAAGCTGCTGGAGAAAGTGGTGCAAAAGGCACTTGTCACCTTTCTGGTTATGGCTGGTTCTGCCCAGCACACAGTTTGAATTCCGGACAGGACATTCCACGGAGGATGCCCTTGTGTTGATGGTCAACAGGATCCTTGCCTCAAGATTGCCGCATGTTCACGGGTGTGGTCCTCCTGGATATGTCGAAGGCGTTCGACAAGGTTCGCCACCAGCAACTAGTCAAAGATCTCGTATGTGTGGGCATCACTGGAACAACACTCCAGTGGCTCATGTTATACTTGTCTGATCTCTGCCAGATTGTCCAGCTGCGATCCCAGCTTAGCACAGTGGCAGCCTGCTCCTGTGGAGTACCACAGGGGTCGGTATTAGGTCCACTGCTTTTCAGCCTTTACACCCGGGACATACCATCTGTTGCCCAGCAAGCTGAGCCCGTCTAGTTCGCAGATGCCATTGCACTGACCTGCAGTCGCCCAACACAACAGGAACTCTCTCCAGAGCAGTGACATGCATTGCTGACTGGCCGAAGCAGCGAGGTGTGATTCTTAAGAGAGCATGTCTGAGAATACCTAAGTATGTGTGCAAGTGGATCTCTCCGATTTCGCTCAAAATTTGCAGGTAGGTTCCCTTTGGGGTGTGGATCGATTGTGCAAAGCCCTTGAAAAAGTTTCTGAAGGGAACCTTGAAATTTGCATACCCCTCAAAAATGGTCGAAATATCACATTATTAATGGGTCTAGAAACGAGTCACGCCACAGCGTATACGAACAAGCTATGAACAAAACTCCATCAGGCCAACATTGCCTCACCTTAGAAGAGTTCCTGGAGTAGTACCGCTTAGCCACGCCAGCATCGCAGAAGACGAGGTCCGTCACCCCCTGACGCCACAAATGATCGTCTTGAAAATAGCCAATTTACAAGCGCTGGCAAAACAGCCAGCTACGTCCTCAATTGGCCAGAACTATACACCGGCAGATAGTAGAACACCTATTCTAGCGCTGAGGACATGTCCCCCATCTTCCTTTTGGGGTTTTCTTGAAATAATCTTTTTTGAATTTTTCCACTCGACCATGCTGAAATATGGCCAAAGTCATACCTGCGCAGGAAAGCTCGCCCCTCCGCGACACCTCCTCAGCAATTTCTACTCCAACACTACTCCCAAGGCCGCAGAACAAAGTGTAGTGTTGACTCTGACAAGGAAAAGCAACGGTGATCACTTGTCACTCAAAACGGCAAGCTTCTCCTTGCGCCACCAATAATATTTTGTGCGACTGTTGATGCAAAAGTGACTGAAGGCCTGAGCGCAGTTTTTGAATTTTATTGCAAGCTGCCATCTGTCTCTTCTGCTCGCGACCTTGAAGTTCACATTGACACCGCCATGTCTTGGAACACCCAGATGGATTGGTGCGTTGCCCGCCTCAACAAGAAAGTTGGTGTTCTGTGGCGGATGCGCCGCTGCCTCAGCATGCAAAGCCGCATCCAATACTTCAAGTCTGTGATCATGCCCGATTTCTCGTTTGGCTCCAATGCCTTCTCAGCATCGCTGGCGGGTAAGCACCTGGACCGTCTCCAAGTTCTGTAGAATCGTGTGGCTTGAGCTGTGTACGGATGATCGCCGCGCACCTCTGCCAGAAATCTGCTAATCCAACTCGGCGCCTACCGTGTCCGGGACATCTTCATCCAGAAGCTCTTCTTCCTGGTTTGGCGCTGCCGATACTCCCGTGCTAGCCATACACTGCAAGTGCTGCTGCTACCAACCAGTGGCGCTCCTACTCAGCTGCAATTATCTATGGGTCTAAGACCACTGCCAACCCGCACTGCGCTGGGTAAGATTTGTCTTGCCTTCCAAGGAGCTAGGCTCTGGAATGCGTTGCCCAGCGAGGTACGGGCCACACCGCACCCGGCCCATTTTCGCACTGCTGCTGTTCCACACAGCATGAACCTTTGAGGTCACACGGATCACTATCGCCATATTTTCATTATATGCCTGTCTGTTGGCCTGCCTGCTCGTCTCTCTCCCTGTTTCTCTGACAACCTGCTGGTTAATTCGTACGGTTGTTGTTAGACATAAAGCCCTGTCGTAGAGGTCTAAGCCCTCATGTGTTGCTGAGTCTCTCTCTCTTTCCACTCTCTCTCTCCTCTCTATCTCTCTTTCTCTCTCCCCCCCTCCCACCTATCTCTCCCCCCCCTCTCTCTCTCTCTCTCTCTCTCTCTCTCGGATCTCTCTCTCTCTCTCGCTCGCTCTCTCTGTTTTTGGTTGACAAAAACATCTCTGGGGCTGATTGCTTTCTTGCTTCGACTTCTGCCGCGCCTTTGTTCTCCTACTCCCCTTTCTGTACAAGTGTTGTGCAAACCCTCCTGTAATATTGTCTGTCTCATTTTGCACCGAGGGCTTTTGATGCATAGTGATTATGACGCTCATCATTCGCTCCTTTGTCACTGGACAGTTCTGTCCATTTGGTTTTAACGAATTCAAAGAAAGAAAACAAACAACAACAAAACAAAGATGATCAGAAGCAAAGGTGGACTTGATCAACACATCGATACCACCTATGTGCTGGTTTGGGTCTCTGCCAGAATATTATATTACAGAATCCGTGTTCAAGGATGGACGAGTCAAGGCTAGTTATTGCATCAGCAGGGAATATAGCTTCAATGATAATTTCGTCATGTATGTCGTGCTGGACGAGTGCATGCATCAGGTCGTCCACTTGGGGGTGTCAACCAGAGCTGCCAAACAACCAAGCCCAATGGAGAACACAGTGTCGAAGATTACTCAGTGAGGAGGTCGGACGTCGTCCATCAATTATCATTAATTTGTCGCGCAGTGCTAGTTGTCGGAAGTTGTATAGTGAAGATGAAGTTGTATAGTGAAGATATATCTACGATTCAAATTTGTGGAAGATTACACATTTCTGTGTTAGATGCGCTGTGTATTCGGAAATTAGATCCATGACTATGTGTACAGAAGGAGAGTGTGTTATCATTGCAGTTGTTTGCTGGCACACCTCACGAAAGTGTGCCCAGTATTTCCTGATGTGTTGAACATGTTTGTCTACAACTTGCAGGTTCTGTTTTTGAGGTTTTACCACTTTAACCATTTCTTAATTAGGTTGAGGTATGGTCTTTTTTCTTTCTTTCCTTTCTACAAAATTTATGTAGTCACATATTTTCCAAATTTCCAACATTCCCTGTACTATCTTGAAGAGAAGGGAAGGAAAACGTTGGGTAGATAATAATAATAATAATAATAACTTTATTAGGATGACACTAATAATAATAATAATAATAATAATAATAATAGCACATTTCGCGTAGTAGAGCACTAAATAAAGAAATTCAGTGTTTTTTCCGCTTCTGTCTTGTGAGCATCATCAGCTAGGTGTAGTAGCTGCTGATACCGATTTCTCGCCGGGTGTCGAGCTGCACAGTTTCCTCCAGTCTGTCTTGTCTGCTGCTTGTTGTCGGCACCTGGAAAGGTCTTCCATGGTCTTCATTGGCACACTAATACACTGTAATATATGAAAGGAAGTGGCTACTTGGTAGTGAGGATTTTCGTCTCTGCATGCGAAGGTATAGATTGCGAAAATACGGGGTGAATAGTTTTGTTGTACAGTATCTAGTGCATCTCTAAAAAAATCTGTCCCAATTTCCCCTGGCTGGTGACCACTGCAATGCCTGAAACTTCCCTTTGCACCTGGTCTTGGCGCTTTTCCCTACATTTCTCTGCACATTGGTGTGTTTAGCAGTCTATTCGAGGTGCCTCCACCTTTTGTGGACATATTCGTGAATTTGTTGTATTCGTTTGTTGCATTATATCAATGTTTGTATACCCCGCGCTTGCTTTAAATACAAACTGTCAATTCTGCAGATAACTGGTACGTATGTTCACATGGCCAAGAAGCATCGGGAAGACTCGAGACACTTTATATTCCCAAACCTAAGACATACAATGATGCGTCTGCTGAGTGTGCCCGGAGAGGTAGCATTCTGGCGAATATCCAGAATAGATATCATGGAGAGTGTGCAGGTGACCTGCTTGGACCCCGAAACGGTCAGTGCAACAGTTCTTCCAGTGATAACTGCAAGACTTCCTCGTACTTCTGCAAAACCAATACATGCAATGTGTGGATTGCTCTTCAACGACCATCTCAATCCAAAACCTGGACATGGACGCTACCGGTTCCAATCTCAGCAAACAATGTTTCTTGGATTACTGCACCACTACAAGGAGGAGGTGGACGAAACGAATGTGGCTATTATTCTCCAGAGAAGGAAAGCTTTGGAATCAAATCTTGCTCAATGAAGCTAAGTTTCTATTGCCAAAGATATACACCAAATGGTAGGGATCTAATAGAAATTCTTTTAGACATCCATCAGGCTACTCCTATACATGTACTTACCAAATAGCCCTGCTGTATTCACCTACCTGTGTAGTAAAGGGGCTAATATGCAACATTAATTAATTTGCACACAAAAGTAACAAACTCCCCCAGACACAACGGGGACTGGTGGTTGGGAAAACATTAAATCAATACGAAGAGACGGAGACTTAGACGAACTACAACGACTACATTATGGAGGACACAGACTGAGAGAGAAAGAGAGAGAGAGATGGAGCGAAGGCAGAAAGATAATTGGCCTGGGTAGCTATGGCAATTATGGGCTGGAAAGTAGCCACCCAGACCAATGTAACAAAAGGTGACAAAATATGAGACAAAAGGTGAGTTCGAGCGTAAATGCAGGCCAGCTTAGAGAATGTTGTAAGCACTTTTGTTGAAAGTTGAAAGCACATATGTAGTCCAATCCATGATTATTATCACTAATACCATATTACAAAGACCGTGATCGATGTACATTCCTTCTTTCATAACTTTAAGTTTAGTTCTATTCCAAGGGGAACATGGCTCGGGCAGCCAAAGACCACTTTGCGGTCAGAATCGAGGGATTTAAGGCCAGGTTCGGGAGCACTGAAATTAATGGAAAATCGAAGAAAGGCTGAAAGGAAAGTTGAGAACTTGTAGTCAGGCGCTTGTGGCACGGGTACGTGGATGCTGCTAATGGGGTTTCTCCGTCAAGCGCTTAATCTGCTGCTAGGGTCTAATGGGTGTTACTGGGTGTCCTGAGCTCCCATCGCAATTGGACACAATAATTTACTTTTCTTTATGCACGAACGAGACTTGGGCATGTGATAAATGATTTTAATGCGTAATTTGTACTTCCGTCGTCCTTATCTTTCCTATTAATATTAATCTAAACTGTTAAAGGCTGCTCGGGTCTCGGCTAGAATCCCATAATCCCTTTGGCGAGTTATTTTTAAACAGTCAAAATCGTCAGTACTTGTACAACTATTTTTATTTATTTATTTATTTTTACAAGAAGTCGGAGGCGGATAATACTTTAATAACGAAGGTACGTGTTGGGTCGTAAGTATCCACGCAAACACACATCCAGTCAAAATAAGGCACTTGTCAAAGTATCCGAACGTTTTCGGTCCCTTCTCATCAAGGATTATACAGGGAATGGCTCAAGTTGGAAAGACTAAAACTTATATAGCGTAAAGATATGAGATAACAACACTCGTGACAAGGTGAAAAAAGTATCAAGTTCAGCACGACACAAAACTCGAAGGAAATAATAATAGCGACAAGAACATATTGAGCAAATTAAGTTACATTGTTAACACCTCGACGAGGAGTAACACCAAACAATTGTAGCGACAACACATTTTCTTTCTGTACGCAAAGTTCAGGATCTAACTTACGGATATACAAAGCTTCTAACACAGCCAGATGCAACGCACATCTACCACGTGACAATATTGAGAACACATTATCACTGTACAACTCACGACAATTGGTACGGGCTGACAGATGTTGCTTGATGGACGAAGTGCGATTCTTAGCTCCGTTGGGTGTAGTCTCCTCCAATGTCCCGTCATCTCGCCTCTTCGCTGCATCACCACTATCCGTCTCTTTGCTTTTCCGCGGCCTCCCACGTTTTCTGACACTAGCCGTTGTGTGCGCGATGCCCAGTGTCCTTTCAGCTACGTCTCCTCCATTGCGGATTTCTATTGATCTTCTTACTCCAACTTGTCCGGTGTTCGATATTGATGTTCGTTTTCGCGGTCTACCACGTTTTCGAATATTGACTGTTGTTGTCACTTCCGTTGTCGTTGTACGTGCGTCCTCACCAGTCCGTATTTTTACTTGGCTTCGCGTAACCCTTCCCGACGCAGACAGATCCTTTGTCAATTTCGGTGGTTTACGTGTCGGTCTTTCACCATCTTTCACGCTGTTCTCAGCTGGACCCTGCGCTATACACGCGGAGGAGGACGGGCATGCAGTGATATCTTCACAGGAAGAGGAAGATCCACCGATGGACTGGACAGCACATTTTGGAGGACGACCAAATATTGTCACGTGGTAGATGTGCGTTGCATCTGGCTGTGTTAGAAGCTTTGTATATCCGTAAGTTAGATCCTGAACTTTGCGTACAGAAAGAAAATGTGTTGTCGCTACAATTGTTTGGTGTTACTCCTCGTCGAGGTGTTAACAATGTAACTTAATTTGCTCAATATGTTCTTGTCGCTATTATTATTTCCTTCGAGTTTTGTGTCGTGCTGAACTTGATACTTTTTTCACCTTGTCACGAGTGTTGTTATCTCATATCTTTACGCTATATAAGTTTTAGTCTTTCCAACTTGAGCCATTCCCTGTATAATCCTTGATGAGAAGGGACCGAAAACGTTCGGATACTTTGACAAGTGCCTTTTTTATTTATTATTATTATTATTTTTTGACAATGCAACACAATTATTGTGGAAAGGTCACAACAATAACAGACAAGATCAAAAGGAAAGGTTAACAATAATAATATGAGCCAGAAGACTTTGGTGCTACGCCAAACACCTCAGATCATGAACCGCTGGGGCAAGCAGTAGCATCAAACCAGACCACAAATGTCCACCATCAACACCGACCACCGGCTCAAGACTGCAATTTCGATTCATGCGAAGGCGAAGTCAACTTGGGCAACTCCAAGCGTTTGCGCCCGAGTGTCACCCCCGACAGACCTGAGGATAATGGCATGAGATCACGGAATCGCAAGAAGAGAAAGCAGCCCCCAGGAAGTGCATCACGGTGCTAGCGGCCTCTCCATCGAATCGAAGAAAAAGAACAAGCCAACAGGAATCGACTCGCAATGCCAGTAGTAAGTCACTATACTACTTTGCTAGTCCTTTCATTTCTTTCAATACTCATGCTTAATCCTCACGCACAATCTTTTCTCCCCCACAATGCTACGCAATCAGATCTTTTTCATACGATCGCTCTTTCTGCGGGACAAGCAAGTTCAATTTCCTGAGCTTCAACGCTCGCAGCTTGTTCAACAAAATGGACGAGATTGCGCAAGTAGCCATAGAAAAGAGACCCAGTCTTATCGCCATATGTGAAACTTGGGCAAACCCCCTAGAGCCAGACTCTCTATACGAACTCCCCGACTACTACCTTTATAGGCATGATCGGCAGCACTGTAGAGGCGGAGGAGTCGCCGTGTATGTTCACTCATCCATCCCACACAAACACAAAACAAACATCACGATGAGCAACTTCGAATCACTCTGGCTCGAACTTGATCTACCGAATGTATCACTTACAGTCGGATGCTCCTACCGCCCTCCAAACACAGATCCGTACACATTCTGCCAACAACTGGAGCCCTGTCTAGGTCTCTGCAACATGAACTCTCCGTTTCTATTGGTAGGAGATATGAACGCAAAGCACACCTCATGGCTTCCCACTGATATCACTGATAGAGCTGGCGACCTGCTGAGCTACCTACTAGACACTGCAGGATTAAACCAGCACGTGTCTTTTCCGACCTGTATTTCCAGAGGCAACTTGAAGTCCTGCCTCGACGTTGTCATCTCCAACGTACCAGAAGAAGACCTATCTGTCACATCGTATCCCCCTGTCGGAGCGTCAGATCATGTACTCGTCGGAGGACATGTGTCCCTTGCATGCCCACCACAAGCATCAACACCCCAACAAAACGTCGAAGCTTGGCGCTGGAACTGGGACCCTGATCGCGTAGTCGCACTGAAAGAAGCCCTGAGCTCAATGCAGCTTTTGCCACCAGCTGAGGAAATCCCGCAGTTATCAATGACAGACCTCTGGTCGCATTGGCATGACTCGCTTATCAATACAGCACACTTGTACTGTACTAACTTCGCACCACGACGTACACACCAGACATGCCCAGGTCGGCGACCATGGATGACTCAACAGCTTCTTTGCAGCATTAAACTCAAGCATCAGCTCTACCGTCAGTATCTCAGAAATCGCAGCGCCGAGAACTGGCTCACATTCGTTACTCAACGCAATAGGACCACAACACTACTGAGAGAAGCTAAATCCGCCTTCGTATCCACTACCACGCAAGGCGACGTAACTGGTGTCCCACAGCGAAACCTGTACAAGTTAATGAAATCACTGCGGTCGTCCCCGAAAAAGGAGCTTCCACCTATTTCAGCGAACGAAACAGTGGCTAGATCAGATGGAGAAAAGGCGGAAACGTTTAACAATTTTTTCATTTCGGAAAGCCAGAAGTCCGTCTCCGGACCAACTGAAGCCGTGCCAGAGATTGGCGTGTCGCGCATCATCGGAAGCGAACTGAAGGAAATCATCACCACCCAGGAGAAGGTCAGAAAACTCCTTTCCGCTCTTGATTTCCGGAAGTCGGCTGGGTACAATGGCATCCCGACGAAATTGCTCAAGATCACTGCAGACGAAATATCGTGCTCCCTCGCAACACTTTTCAAAGAGTCTTTCTCGCGAGGCGAGCAGCCACAGGACTGGCGCGACGCCACTATCAGTCCTCTACACAAGAAAGCCTCTCGTGCAGAGGTCACCAATTATAGACCAATCTCGCTCATAAGCGTTGTCAGCAAGGTTCAGGAGAGGATTGTTCACCAACGCCTCTACACCCACATTGAGCCCCACCTACCGGCCGACCAATCTGGATTTCGATCTAAGGATATTACTGAACTACAGCTCTCCCGCCTAGTGCATGAGATTTCCGCCAGCCGAGATTCCGGTCAGGCAGTGTCAGCATGATTCTTTGACTTATCAAAGGCTTTTGACCGAGTCTGGCATGCTGGCCTCCTGGCCAAACTCGAGCACCTTGGTGTCCGTGGCATTGCCCTTACCTGGCTCACAAGCTACCTGACTCGCCGCCGACAACGCGTACAGGTTGGCTCCGCTTTGTCATCATGGAAATCCATTCCAGCTGGAGTACCCCAGGGCTCTGTCCTGGGGCCTCTTCTTTTCCTGGTGTACACGATCGACCTCCCCCCAGCATGTACAAACTCTCACACTAAATGCAGCCAGTTTGCCGATGACACGGCACTCATCGCGACGCATTACACGAGGGATTTGTCAGCTCCATTTCTCCAACGTGCCGTGGACGCAGCAGGATGATGGTTGAAGGATTCGCATCTCCTCGTCAACAGCACGAAAACCGTCGTCCTTTCCTTCCAACCCCAACACACCATCCACATCACGCTCCACTCGACTCGGCTGCAGCAGGTCCACCAACATAGGCACCTTGGTGTTACACTCCAAGACGATTTGCGATGGACCCAACACATCATAGAAACCACCAACAAAGCCAAAAAACTACTACACCAACTCCACAAGACACGTGGCACAATGAACGCTTCCAGCCTATTGTTAATATACACAACCTACATCCGACCCGTTCTCGAATATGGCAGCCTTGCCCTCTCGAACACCACACAGCAACAGCGGGACACACTGGAGAGAATTCAACGCCGTGCTATACGCATCTGCCTTCGGATTCCCCTCTTTGCACCAGTTCACCACAGCTCCCTCCTCCATCACGCAAAGCTCCCCACCCTTAGCTCACGACTCCTTGTTAAACAAGCCCTACTAGCATGGGACATCCACCACCAAACCTCCCCACCACACCTGCAACAACCACATCTTGCACCACAACGTCAACACCAACCATACACCCTTCGACAGACAAGGACCTACTCCATCGGACACGCACACACGAACAGGCACCGAGACTCCCCCATCAACAGTGCCTTCACCCTCTACAACTCACTCCCTATCGACATCACAACCCAACCTCGTAGAAATTCTTTCCGAAACAATGCATCCAGTCTTCTTTTGAGCAGTACCTGCTCCTGCTCCGCGCATCCCCCTGGTTTCTGATATCTCGAACGTGTACTTAACTATCTCGATCACCCCTGCTAACATTATTGCCCCCGCTTGTTTTTCATGATCCATTGCTTCTTGCCTCCCGGTTAATTTCCATCTAGCTGTTTCTGGCTAGTACCAGTTCTATCGCACTTATTAATCATCCTTATTGGCGTCACGCCATCGTGGAATAAAAGAATATTGTATAATAATAGTAGAAAGGAAAAGGACATATGGAAACGAGTTAAGAGTAACTCTCCACCACTGTAACTAGATGCTATATACAGTCAGAAAGTGCAACAACTAGGCACAAAACTGACAGAGTACTGAGACATTCGACGTCCTGACACCTAGCTTCAACACATCTCCGTAGCGCTAACCGACAGCCTTCCAACTTGGAAGGTTCAAGGTTATGGAAAGACCAAAGAGGGGGAAGGCAAGCGCAACGAAAACGAGCACAAGCTACAGTCCCAACGGAACAAAGAATGTCGATTGTCACTGGACGATGACGAGACCAGTAGGCGGTTTGACAAAGCGGTCTTACTACAATTCGAAGCAGCAAAGCAGCACACCACCCAACTTGGGTGGGTCAAAAATATCAAAGATAAGTTAAGAAGGGGGAAGCTTTGCGAGAACGAATTGTTGGAAGGCTGTCGGTTAGCGCACTTTCTGACTGTATGTAGTATCTAGTTACAGTGGTGGAGAGTTACTCTTAACTCGTTTCCATATGTCCTTTTCCTTTCTACTTTTATTATTGGCTCAATACCCGAGTTTCAAATAATAATAATAATAATAATAGTAATAAAACGTAGCCTGTAAAATGTAAAAAGTCGCTGAGTACAGTTTAATTCAATATCCATGTCCAGTATTTATAATAAAAATAATCTGCTGCAATTTATAGATTCTCACATGCGAGCAACCTGGGCCTCAGCAACAACCAGCTCAGCAGACTCCGGATGCCGAACCGATCGCTCACGGAAAAGACCCCGCAAACACATGATTCATGATCGCAACAGGGCAAATGAGATACGGCATCTGATGTAAGATATTACGTGGGAGTACTGCTCCTTCCTCCTTTCCGCTCTCAATAACGCGATTCGGCGATAGAGTGATGTCGCCGCTCTTCCCATGCCACCACTTGCAGACAGCACAACAGGCATTAACGTCGCATGGTTTCACCTCTCTCACTCTCTCTTCATAACATCGTCGCTTTTCTTTTGCATGGCGCCGATAGACAGTGGTGTGTGGTGCAGATCGATTTGAGCGTGCATGAGGATTAAAAACCCGTATATCAAGTAAAGTACGCTCAAAACGACTGCCCCACAAACCACTGACCGCTACATCAAGCCACGCATGCTCCTCCACAATAGCAGACCTGTATCTCATTCTCTCTCCAGTGAGTGGCTGCAGCAGTGGCTCAATGGAGACATTGTGACAGGTTTCTTGAAGGAGAGAGGCTGTCACATTCCGGATCTCATTATGGCGGATAATGGTAAACCCACAAAGAAGACATGACAAGGCATGGTCAATACCATTGTCCCGTCCACAAAAGCAATTAGTTGGTAACCTCGGCGGCATCCAACCATAACGGAGCCGTCCATGAACTCAGCTTTGCTCAGTGAAAAGCCATACTTTTTCAATGGACGGCAAGTCAGCCAACTCGAGGCGCCAGGTTCACGGGCGAGGACAATGGTGTGTCGCAAGGCGTCCGATGCATCATTGCTGATACGCCGTGCCAACTCCGCCTGGCTATGACGCACTTCCTTCTTCCTCTTCGCCTTCTCCAGCCGGATGCAAATCAGACAGGGCATTGCTAGTACTTCCCTCAACACTGTGCCAGGCGGTGGCCGACCCGTCAGTGCTGGTATAAGCTTCGTGGTTATCACGTCCTCCAGTGGCTGGAACTGGGACGGAGAAATAGACTGAACGCGGCATAGGAAAGCCCAGCGACTTCTCAAGCCCGAGACATACGCATAATATGCTGCCTGGGGCTGCGAGCGAGCGAAATTGTGCAACTATTCCTGTTTTTCTTTATTTACAGTTGTTTTACTATGTTCACATACCCAACTCGTGAATAATAATGAAAGACAATGGTCCGGAGACAAGGACGAACATGACAACTGCTGACTATGGGCTGCACCGAGACGCAGCTGTGATGGTGGGGCATTGATTGATCTGCCTGCTGAGGTCTCAGCATCGCGGCCAGAAACACGTTGTTATAAAGGCATCATTCGACAAGGGAAAGACCATGTACATGTACATGTACATGTATTGTTCACTGACATCCTGTGCGTGCCTCACTGTGTTCTTTGCTCTATAGCGCCCTCAGGCATAGCTGTCAACTCTACGGACACTGAAATATCTGCACGCATATTGCAGCCACAGATACTACGAGATTGGGTGTCAGAATTCTGCTTTGTGTACGAGAAGTATGGCACTGCGGCAGCGTCCACTGTAGTTTGTACAAACAAGGAGTCAACCGTTTTGTCAGGCCTGGCTCACAATACTCTGTACAGGGTCAGAGCATTCTCCAAAACCACGATCGGAAACAATAGTAGCATGTCCCCTGAAGTCAATATTGGAACATTGCCTAAAGGTAAGGAATACAGTTACATCAAAAACCGACCACAAACAGGGGGTGAAGAATTTTGTGTGACTCTTATGGTACCTCGCACATTCCTTTGCATGGTCTCATTCCGCAAATGACGTTCCTGTGTCAATGGCATGATTATCAGGACATTCATTGCTGAATCAATTAAGGACTTAGTTACCCATGTTTGATTGATTGATTGATTGATTTTTATTTCACGGATCCTCCAGAGACAAATAGATGCCTATCGAAGGGAGTCTCCTAAGTAAGTATGGAAAATGAGAAAGTATGTTCGTAAGGGAGAAGAGGTAGAAGATACATTTGTACAAAACAAATAAATTCAGTACTTCAGGTAGTACATTGTGTAGTATCCCTGCCCGACCAATACGGAAGCAGTACGGAACTAATACGGAGCTTTGCCTGATGTATTTTAATTTTAGTGTATCTCCGCATATAAGCGTACGGCGTCTGCTGCATAAAAGCAGCTGCGCCTTTCTGTTTTAATTAGATTAGATTAGATAGCAACGAAAGCTAACTCGAAGAAGATGTGATTTTGATAATAACGAGCTATTCAACCTCCAGGTGTGCACCGGAGAGAAAGTCAGTTATTTTGCCGCTTCTTCTTTCTTTAATAATTATATACCAGGTGTGTACCTGAAAGAAGTAGAATAAAAGTAATTCTTGTTGATTTCACCGCGCCTACCACTCGGCTACCCATTACATTGGTGGCAGCGGTGTGTTTTTGTAAAATAAAACAACGGGATTCGACCCCAGACCCCCATGGCTCAACCCGCTGCAGCTCCATGCGACGAATCAAGATGAGAATCATGTTTTTTGCCTTACTGGGCCTTGCCCTGCTTGCCCTGCTTTTTAGCCTGCAGCACAGTCAGGGTGCTAGCGTGGATCACCCTTCTCTCCGCACGGTACTCACTGGAGACTCCGATGGCGATTCCAAGCGACCCGCTACGTACATGTATACTACCGGTGGTGATGGCGAAGCTGATAAGGACGACAACAGGCAGGCTGGTACCCAAGACAAGGAGGGTATTCCCCAAGACCAGCAGATTTTCGTCAACACTCTTCCTGGCTATACCATCACTCTTTACGTCGCGCAAAGCAATGCTATCGACAATGTGAAGACCACGATTCAAGACGAGGAGGGAGGTCATTTGTCTGACGCCGAGCTAGCCGCTCTGAGTGACCGGCTCAACCAAGATGAAGATATAACCTGGCTTGCCCTCGGCCGTAGCTTCAGCCGCCGCCGTGGTTACTAACGCTGATTCTAGGCATGGCATTTTCTTTCCTCTCTTCCTTCAGTCTCCCTGTTCTTTTCAGTCTTCCTTTATGCGAGTGTGCGAATCCAGTTTAGTTTGGTAGGCGTCTGATCATGGTGAGCCACGGCTTACCCAGCTAACGTGGGACAATGTGTGTGACAACGCCCCTTATAGTTATAGTGTATTCAGTTCGGTTTTTGAACTGCGATGTTCCTGGCGGGTTGTGCCAGCGTTGTGCAGCAAGAGTGCTGTAGTTTCTCAGGTCCTATTTGGAGGACGGTTCTTTCCCCTTTTTACCCCGAGAGATCGTGTGAACCTGGTGTGCTTCTACTTTATGATTTGTTATCAGTTCATTTCTTCTGTCTACTCTAAACGTTATCATTTCCGATATATTATTTGCCATCTTCCGGTTGACGCTGTGTTCGAAACTCTTCACTAATTTTTTGAAAATCACGAGGGCGTGATTATCTGTAGGAAGGGAGGGTGTAGTATCCTTGCCAGACCAATACGGAAGCAGTACGGAACTAATACGGAGCTTTGCCTGATGTATATTAATTTTAGTGTATCTCCGCATATAAGCGTACGGCGTCTGCTGCAAAAAAGCAGCTGCGCCTTTCTGTTTTAATTAGATTAGATTAGATAGCAACGAAAGCTAACTCGAAGAAGATGTGATTTTGATAATAACGAGCTATTCAACCTCCAGGTGTGCACCGGAGAGAAAGTCAGTTATTTTGCCGCTTCTTCTTTCACTAATAATTATATCTCAGGTGTGTACCTGAAAGAAGTAGAATAAAAGTAATTCTTGTTGATTTCACCGCACCTACCACTCGGCTACCCATTACAATTGCATGCTTATCATAGTGAGAAGCTGCATTGCGGACTACTATAACTGACATATACACAAACTATTGAAACTATCACAGATGTGGTTACCCTAGACGCAAAAGTCAGGAATAAATTTCAAAGAAAACATAGATTGCGAATGATACCGCCGCACAGCAATACTAAATTTCGCTGTTGTAGAGAGTGACCGAATATCTTCAGGAAGTATATTCCAGGCAACACTCAAAGAAAAAAGGGTTGATTTACGAAAGTAGGTGCCAGCTTTAGGAAGAATTATGGACGAAGGGTGACGACTGCTTTGGGAAGAGGGTAGCTAGAAGTGAGACAACAAGGAGGGATATTGGGAGAACACATGGTGGAAATAGACAAGGCCAAGAATCTGCCGTCGCCATGCTAAAGATCCCCAAGAGGACAGAACATTGAGGTCTTCTTTGGAAGTCGTCCAGTCAGGCCGACGCTTGAGTTTACTATTTATGTATGCTCGAGCAGCAGTAGCCTGCAGTTTATCAAGGGTTGTGGACATGGTGGCTGAAACGGAAAACATCCAAACGGGAACAGCATATTCAAGGAGGGGACGAACATAATATTTATACAAAAGATTCACAGCAGGAAAAGGAAGGAAGTTGGACATGTGGTTTAAAAGAAAAACCCGACCTCGAAATTTGCGTGTGATGTGTTGAATATGGGGGACAGATTGAGTGAATTAGTGAGGATGATGCCCAGATGGCGGTGGGAAGAGGGCTGGGTCAGTGACGTATCGGCCATGGTGACGGTCCTGGGATCAGGTGGGTTTGATTTAGGTTTGCAAAATGGAACATGGACACATTTGTTAGCATTGAAAACTGCTTCAGCTTTATGGGACCAGTTCACACATCTGTCAAGGTCTAGTTGCAGGGAGGCAGTGTGCGCGGCGGGTACGACAGTAGGCGGAGAAACGCAGACCATGTTGGAATCATCCGTAAACAGGGTCAGATCGCTGGATTTGGGAATGCTGGGAAGGGAGTTGATAGAAAGTTTGAACAATAGAGGGCCTAGGTGGGAGCCTTGTGGCACACCAGCGGTGAGCGACATATGGGTTGATAATTCAGGGCCGACCAGCACAGACATCGATCGGCCTTCCAGGAAGTCCATCAGCCACGCGAATAAGTCAAGTGCATTTCAACCGGACAGACATGAGGCTAGGAGGCGATGGCTGGTACTATCAAATGCCTTCGAGAAATCGAGAAAGACGGCATCACACTGGGCCCGGGTATCAAATGCAGAGCTGACAGTTGATGTGACATACACAAGTTGGTCAACCGTGCTTCGGTGGTGGCGAAACCCGAACTGTTTCGGCGACAGTGGTTTGTGTTTCGCTACAAACGCGTACACCTGGCGGCTGATTAACACTTCGTAGCATTTTGCCACACCACTCAGCAGAGATATTGGCCGGTAGTTAGCAGGCGACTTCCCTTAACCCTTCCAAATTGGGGTAAAAATTGCAACTTTCCACTCAAGGGGTTGGGATCGGTAAGTGGTGCAGCGGTTAAAGAGAGCAGTGAGGGATTGGGCGAGCACTTCTGCTGTCTCTCGTAGGATCCTGTTAGGAAGACTGCCAGCTGTAGACTTTCGCACACTTAGGGTCGACAGTGCCTTGAATACTTCTACGATAGACAGAGGGCGGATGGCAAATGTTTCCGAAGAAGAAGGCATGGCGAGATCACGATAATCTGCATCCGACGACGGCGTAGCTTGACTATTCTTGGCGAACTGTTTACAGAATGTGCCCAATTCATCTGGTAAATGGACGGATGTTCAAAGTGAAGAAATGAAAACAACACTTCTTGCCTCTTATCCCACGCGATGTTTCCTTCTCCACAAAAATGCATTGACATATTAACAGACTTTTGCTGACGGCAAATACTATGTTACGTATGAACAATCTCCTGATACGTTACACTTGATCTGAATATGTTTCCATTAGCGCCAAAATCGCCTGACAATTACGTCCTCTCAAGTACTACCATCAGTGTCTTTATAGGCCGAACAGAAGGAAACAACCTTCCGATACTCCGGTATTGTGTGCATGGAAGGCCTGCTAATGATCTGTCTGGGAATATGACATCGATACCAGTGTGCAATGCGTCTGAAAATGTTACCTTGATCGGCTTGACACCAGGCATGACCTATAATGTCACCACCTATGTAAGCAATGCATATGGAGACAGTGATCAGTCGACCTCCACTCGCATCACCACTTTGCATCAAGGTTGGCACATTTGTTGCACATGTGTAGCCTCGAGTTGGCATGAATTTCAAATATCAATAGATGGTGGAACGTTTCGTTCGAATCGTTCAAAACCCAAGAACGTTACCGGTTCTCCTCCTCCATACGTCTTGCTGTTCACATATTTCAATTGAGTCAACTTCTCTTTATGATTCTACCTGTAACAGATTGGATTTTATGGTTACTCTATAACACGTTATGTTCGGTGGAAATGTAATTTCGGTAATTCCGTTAGGGAAATCTGTCCACTAAAAAGGTACTAGAATAATAGTCACTGTATGTTAAGATAAAATTGGTCACCTACATCTACATTTCACCAGAAAACTATATGGTTCCTCGCACCAAAAATACTTATAAGATTACATGTTGTCCAGAATCTGTTCTTGGTGATGTTTTCCCTTCTTTCATAGCACCAACAACTGATCAAGTCGACGCAACCAGTGGCTACCAAGCCAGCGCAAGCGGCTCCAAATCTGCAGCGATAATTGCGGGAGGGTCTGGCGCAGGACTGCTGGTGCTGGCTGCGACGGTTTTCCTGCTATGGAAATTAAAGTTGACACCCGCGAAACCTGATTCTGGTACGTAACGTCCAAATTTGGAGCTTCTGAATAGTAATAGGGTTCCTTTTCCTTCTTTTCTGGAAAAAAGCGAAATTGATACATTCAGAGGTTTCAAAACTTTACCGAATGATACTACAGCATTCATCTTACAATTCCAAGAGTGATGTTCTGGACACGTTTCTTAGAAATACTTTACCATCGAAAAATGATAACGTTACCGTTCAATCTGGCCTCTCTAACTCAAAATTCCTGTGTGGAACAATAATACATGCATTCCTACAGGCCTCAGTGCATTGTCCATCATGGGCAGATACCATCATAAACTTCATATACATCATCGATCGTGAAAACAATGTCTCGCGATATATTGCGTAAATAGATTTTTGGTTGGACGAAAGCAAATCAGCACACGGAGAACAGAAGACATACAATTATTTCGACTAGGCCTTTCATTCCATTACTCTTCAGGTCGAATACAATGATGATTGACAAGGTAGTAAGCAAGTACTTATAACCGGCACTTTTGGCGAGCAAGGCATTGACAAAAATAGCACTAGAAAAATAGCGCTTGCGGCGCCAACAGCATATTTAGCGGGCAGAGCATAGACCAAATAGCACTTTAAAGATAGCGCTAGTGGCACCAAGTACACAGTGTGACAATGAATATTACCAGTATCAGACAACAGTGGGGACTACGGTACTACAATGTCAAAACAGTGACAACTTTCGCACATACTTCTTTTGCACGCACAGTTCAGGCTTCAGCTTGGCAATGTACATTGCCTCCAGCACAACAAGGTGGGATTTGTTGCGCGCACTCGCTTGAATGGTAAAGTGAGAGTGGGTGCCACTAGCGCTATTTTTCAAGTGCTATTTTTGTCAATGCTCTGCCCGCCAAAAGTGCCGGTTATAAGTACTTGCTTACTACCTTGTCAATCATCATTGTATTCGACCTGAAGAGTAATGGAATGAAAGGCCTGGTCGAAAACAGTATATGGCTTCTGTGCTTCGTGTGCTGATATATTGTTTACCGCTGGCAACTGGGCATCACGTGTGCTTGTAGAACTCAATCGCACCCCCAGAAGTCCATATTTAGCACTATAGACCTGCCCTTCATCTTACACACATATACATTCGGAAGTGTGCATGATTTTCAGAAAGTTGAGGTTAACCGTACAACGGGAGTGAAAACATGCAACTCTATTTGCATTACCTAAAGGTGACACAAAGTTCATAGTTGGTATCTCATCCACGTATCCATCGTTCTGACAATATTATGTTTTCCTCTTTCAGTGCTGACTACCTGCCAACTGGACGTAAGAACTCAATCTGTTTCCCATGATGATGAACTTGATTTGGTTCAGAACACGTGCACTAGTATGGATCCCAATGAGGCGTACGAGAGCTGGATCCTGGCTAGGAATGATGCATATGGCTGTGTGGATTTGCGCGAGAATGATGTTCTTCGTGCCGGATGCGGAGCTGGGCGTGCAGAGGAAGGGGGACCGGCCACAGAAGAAGAGCATACTTATGTCAGCGTCCAATAACGCCAAATGTTTTTCACAGCCCAGGAATTTTAATTTTTACCAAACGATACATATCCTCAACGAAATGCAAATGATACAGTAGCATTTAACTCTGTTGTTGAGCCAATAGTAATATTTAAAGAGAAAGGGACAGTTACTAGCTATGACTAACAGTCCACAAAACTGGCTCTGAACAGAATTAATTGTAATTTGTAACCACCTTGCTCAGCATCCCTACACATTACTGCATGTTTTCTCGGTGTTTTCTTCACTGCATGCTTACACATACACACACCCATTTGAATTATATACAAACTTTGTGCTTTGGAATTAGCATGATTGTTATGATTCTTTTTAATATTTCCTTCTCTCATAATATTATATTCGTTCTTAGCAGAAACCGGAGGTTTTTCCTCTGGTGAGAAGGCAGAATTGCCTGTGCTCTAAATGAATTCAAATAAAAGAAACAAACAAACAAACAAACAAAGGTAAAAATATAATATACAGCCAGGTGAGGTGTCAGGTCAGTGTCATGTCTTAGAATGTTTCAATATACTTGTCAGTCTTGTGCCTTGTTGTCTCACTATCTGATGTTATAATTATTAATTCGTTACCTTGGTGGACAGTTAATTATAACTAGTAACTTATAGGACCTTTTTCTCTTTACACAAAACTGTATCATGGTATACTTTTTCACGGCAAACACGCCATATGTTGCAGTCTTTCTGAGTTTTTTTCTTCATATCTCACTGCCTCTAACTCCAGTAGCGCATGCATTTATTACTGATATACTCTCAAATATTCATTGCAGCTCTTGTGTCCTGATGTCACGGATCAGTATTGATATCATTTGTAACTTTCACAAGTAGGTTTAGTGCTAAACGGTTCGGAGCGAGATTTTTGAAGTAATTTGCTATACATGTATGTTCACGGTGATTCGTAACCGAATCTCAATATCTATATCACTGGAAGAATTACCATTGACATTATATATCCCACCTATGCATTTAATTCCTGTCAGTAAATCCATTGCATAGCAGCAAATTGCAGCTCGTTCGTTATAAACTTGCAGCAGGTGTATATTTTTTGCTTATGTTTATGATTCAAAAGCCGCTAGAATTTTATTCACACTTTGTTTCTGTTTGGTAGCACTTCTCTCTAAATTTCGCATGCATAATCAGTATATCCGTTCACTGTGGTCATGGATTGTTTTAAAAACATGTGCATAACAGTAGTGGTACTAGTGACGTGTATGGTATGAATATTGAGAACGTGTTCGGGGTAATTATCTCTGGTTCCCTCGCCCTTATCTGACCCAGCTAGTGTTATCAAATTACAATGTATAGTATCGGGATTTTGTACTCAGGAAAATGTGAGGACCACTTTCCAAGGGAGCATGTGTCTTGCATGAACTCCCACGAAATACCACTGGCCCAGAGCTGTATGTGAGAAGTGCGAGTCTTCTTTGCCCACCATTCAAAATGTAGATTGTTTCGGCTTTGAGTTATCAGGATCATTTCCAGGAATTCATGCCATATCCAGCAGCACTCGGTCGAAGGCTGGAGAATGGCACCCATCCGACTAGCATCCAGCAGGTAAATGTGTCGACATGATATGGATATTCAATAATGATTGTAGGTAAAAAACAGCGAACCACACAAACCTTTTATTTTTATTTTTATTATTCTTATATTTCACGATGTCGCGACGCCTAGACGATTGATAAGTGTGATAAAACAGATAGCAGTGATCACTGGTCACTCCAAACCACAACCACAACCCCAAAAGGATGATGGGGGACATTTCGTCAGTGCTAGAAGAGGTGTTTTTCTATCTCTCGGTGCATAGTGTTTGCTAATTGAGGACGTAGCTCGCTGTTTTATCAGCGCTTGTAATTTTGCTATTTTCAAGACGATCATTTGTGGCGTCAAGGGATGATTGCCCTCGTCTTCCGGGATGCTAGCGTGGCTAAGTAGTGCTGCCCCAAGAACTCTTCTTAGGTGAGGTAATGTTGGCTTGATAGAGCTTGTTCTTCTACGCTGTGCCGTGGCAAGTTTGTAAACCCATACATCGTGCCCATAGTGGGCCAATATTGAGGGGCATGCCAATACAATGGTTCGCTTCAAAAGATTTTGCGCGGGCTTTAAAATGTCGATCTACATCCCAAAGCAAGCCTACCTGCACTATTGTCCCGTGTAGTTGTTCACGATAGCCCTAGTAGACGTATCGGAAGACAAACACCAGACATCAGATAACAGTACCAGTATTATTGTTCATATGGCGCTCGGCTTGCAAATAACCGCTGATACACACTAGAACCCATCCTGCATCTGTCTCTCACCGGATAGCCCCGTTTTACAAGCCCAGTGCGTCCTATCAGGTCTTGCTGTCCTCTTGTGCACAGGTCTCTCCTGTCAGAATAGTCACCAAATCTACAAAACCTTTTTCAACAGCTTGCTCTTGTATTCGTGCTACAGAAGGGAAATATAGGCGTATAAATTTCATTGCTAAATGGCCGAGGTGGAATATATGCTTAACCCTCATGCCACACAAGAGAGACGAGCCTGTGGGGTGTCGCAAGCGTTTATTCCAGCATGAATAATCCTGAGCCTGTGATCCGTAATCAAGTATGACGTACATGGACTCAGTATGAGGTCATGATTATAAATGATGTACACATATCACGTATCAGAGATGCAAGGATAGCAGAAGCGACCAGCGGGGTCGTGCGCCGTCGGAACGGCTACGTTTACTACTAGGTTGCTATGGCAGCGGAACACTAAATCTTAGTACACATGAATAGTTCAATGGTGCTGATGTGCGTGCACTATGCGGCGCCCATCGGCAGCACCCGTGCCTTCTGCCTTTTAAACGGTGCGGGAGGGTGGGAAACAATTTCTGCGGCGGGCAGGCACAACAAACAACTGGTGAATGTCTTTACGTGTTCCTGCCTTGCGAGGGTGGCCTTGGAGCAGCTTGCACCCAAGGCGGATAGGTGGCTTATACGGCATGCCGTACGCGCATCGCGGTTGCGAATGCTTGCGTGGGGCCCCGCGCGGGAGCCCGGCAGTGCGTACGACTTTAGCGGAACTCGTATGAGACTGAGCCGGTTTTGGCGTGTCTGCGGACGGCATCTCCATGCGGGAGATGCGGCTCTGTGACTTGTAGGCTAACTACGGTTTGCGCAACGCAAACCAACAATTAACCCTCATGGCACACAAGAGAGACGAGCCTGTGGGGTGTCGCAAGCGTTTATTCCAGCATGAATAATCATGAGCCTGTGATCGGTAATCCAGTATGACGTACATGTACTCAGTATGAGGTCATGGTTATAAATGATGTACACATATCACGCATCAGAGAGGCAAGGGCAGCAGAAGAGACCCGCGGGGTCGTGCGCCGTCGGAACGGCTACGTGTACTACTAGGTTGCTATGGCAGCGGAACACTAAATCTTAGTACACATGAATAGTTCAATGGTGCCGATGTGCGTGCACTATGCGGCGCCCATCGGCAGCACCCGTGCCTCCAATAAAGGTACCGAGTGGCTTGCGACACGCAGGCTCTAGTAGTGCTGTGGCATGCCTGCGGGCCTGCGAATGTACGTATGATATGCCCCGCTGGACCAGCAGCCTGCAGCCGTCGGTGCATACTCTGGGGCGCCTCGATCTGCCGTGTGTGTTGCTCCCCCGGCGCGTAAGGAATGGCCGCTGATGTTTGGACAGCATTTGTGTAGGACAGCATTGATGTCGTTCGATGTGAGATGGCGAGCATCCTGAAACTTGAAGAGGGGTTGCTTGTCATTGCTCCATTTGCTGGACCGAACGTAAGCCTGCAGGGCTCGGATGGGACATAGTGCGGGGTCAGCGTAGCGGTGCAGCGCTACTTCCCAACCTGCTGTTAATTGAGACGTCTTCGTCCTCTGGAGCTGCAGAGAGGCCTCCTGCTGGGCTAGTTGGAGGTGTTTGCGCCTCAGCGTCTTGAAGCCGCCGAGACCGTGTGGTTACAGCGACGTGTACTCACTCGCAGCGGGCCGTGGAAGGCTGTCGTCAGAGCAGCCCATAGCATCAGTCTGTCTGCCGGGGAGTACAAGGACAGATCCAAGAACTGGCAGAGAGCCTTCAGTTGGTGAACGGTGATCGCTTGGCGCTGAGGGTGTGCTGACGGATGCCTGGGGAGCGACGCTCTCTCCCTCTCTAAGCCCTTGAGCAGGGCTGTGATGCGGCTTGAGGATGTAACTCCGACCGGGCCTCCCATGCGGAGAAGGTGGTATTTGACCGCGGCCAAGTAGACTCTCAGAGTGCTGGCACTGACTGAGTGAGATATTGCGGCAGCGAACAGCATGACGTTGTTCTGATCTGGGTGATATGCGTCGCGGCGCATGCGACCCATGAACTCCAGGAATGCACGCCAGCCTGGGGCGTACGTGCGCTGTGTGCCAGTGGCTACCGAGTTGGCAATCAGGTGCTCTGCTCGAGCTGAGAGAGCGGCGGCTAGCGAGCCTAGGAGGACACAGGCACAAGCGCATGCAACACAAATGCATGCAACACAAATGCACACACGCATACGCCTGCACTCGTGCACATTCCCTAAACAGGCAGCATGGCACGGCGGCCAAGCTGCGGTGTATGCATGCTGCGCCGAGTCACCGAACGGCGGCCCGCTTCCCGGAACACACTGGCCCGGCGGCGTGGCCGCGGATTGTAAGCAGGAGACCCGTGGGTTATGCTAGTGGGAGATCTCCCCCCCCCCCCCCCTGACCTCGGCGGGGCGTTCCTGTACTGGTTTGGCCGAGGTTCTCCCTCATCCCGTGGGGCTAATGCAAAGGCGACCCGAGAGCCCCCCTCCTCCCCAGCCCCTCCGGCTGGGAGCCTCTGCTATTGGCCTAATCCATAGATACTTAGCCTTGCGGGTGGACGCATGGAGTGGCACGTAAGCGTTGGCTTGCGTAGCCTTGGCTTGCGGCGGTAAGTGATCCTACGGCGGGAGGTGGACATCTGGAGGGATGTTATGCAAGCGGGGCTGGTGACCCTGGACAGACACACAGAACAATAGGCAGCGGGCGGCGAAGCCTTGGCTCGGCGGAGCCGTAGCTTGCAGCGGTAGTGTCTGTAAGCGATTCTCCAGCGGGAGGTGGACATCTGGCGGGATGTTATGTGTGCAGGGCTAGCGACCCTGGATAGACACACAGAACAATAGACAACGGGCGGCGAAGCGTTGGCTCGGCGGAGCCGTAGCTTGCAGCGGTAGTGTCTGTAAGTGATCCTCCGGAAGGAGGTGGACATCCGGCGGGATGTTATGCGAGTGGGGCTGGCGACCTTGGACGGACACACAGAACAATAGACAGCGGGCGGCGAAGCATTGGCTCGGTGGAGCCGTAGCTTGCAGCGGTAGTGTCTGTAAGCGATTCTCCAGCGGAAGGTGGACATCCGGGGGGATGCAATGCGAGCCGGGTTAGCGACCTTGGATAGACACACAGAACAACAGACAGCGAGCGGCGAAGCCTTGGCTCGGCGGAGCCGTAGCTTGCAGCGGTAGTGTCTGTAAGCGATCCTCCGGCGGGAGGCGGACATCCGGCGGGATGTTATGCGAGTGGGGCTAGCGACTCTGGATAGACGAACAGAACAATAGACAGCGGGCGGCGAAGCATTGGCTCGCGGAGCCGTTGCTTGCGGCGGTGGTTTTTGCAGGCGATCCTCCAGCGGGAGGTGGACATCCGGTGGAATGTTGTGCGTGCGGCTTGCGAGCCTGGATATACACGCAGAGCACAAGACAGCGAGCAGGTCAGGCTCGCAGAGCCGTGCCCCTAGTATACGGGTAAACATACAACCTGCTAGGTAGGCTTAACGCCCTCTACAATTTGCCTCGGTAGCACGGCAACGCAGTGCCTGGCCCTTATTTTGTTTGCGCCATACGAGCTACGTGTGTCGCGTACATATGGAGCGCCCCCGAGTACAGCGGTCGCCGGTTCGGGGCCTGCGGGGTGTCGGCCACCATTCCTCCCCAAAAAAAGAAGGGGTGTTCTAAGGGGCCGGATAAGCCCGGTAAGCCCACAGAGTGGTAAGATAGACCATGAAGGGTTCGCCCCGGCAGGGCATGGATAATCATTGACAGCGGAAACTGTAGGTGGGGACTTAAAAATTGGCGGCTGGAGCGCTTGGCCAACTGCAGACGGATGCGACTATCCGTTGTCGG